TCCATTTACCCTACCCCCCTCTCCAATTACTCAGCTCCCCTTCTTCAACCACCCAGCCCCATCTCCATTTACCCTACCCCCCTCTCCAACCACTCAGCCCTCCCTCTCCAACCACCCAGCCCCCCCTCTTCAACCACCCAGCCCCCATCATGTACTTACTTTTCTGAAGACTCAGGGGTGCTGGCTGGCTTGGCCTCAGGTGTGCTCCCTCCTTCTCACCTTCACGGTTGCCGACACGACACGAGACTCCGCCTCCGCGTGATGTCACAAAACTCTGCGTACGCAAAGGGCAGTGGAGGTCGGAGGAGGAGCAACCCGGAAGTACGTCCTCCGCTCCTGAGTCCTGACTCCTTCACTATGCGATGCCGCTCGCTCGCATAGTGAAGGCTCTGCTCAGGAGGAGCACCGGCTGGGCTCAAGAGGCTGCTGCCCTGGTCCTGCAGGAGCAAAGGGAATGGCGTTCCTGCCATGGAAAAAGTGCAGGAACGCCGTTCCCACGCGTTCCTGCAGGACTCGAGCCCTGTTTGCAGGGTTATATAGGCTTTAAATCCCTCCCACAACTTCAGACATACGCCTTCTATTTGTGTACGGGATTATGAAAGGGGGCGTACACTTAAAGTGAGGGTAGGTTTGATAAACACAAGTTTAGGTGTGCCGAAACTGACGAGAGGTTAGGCCTGTAAAAAGAGGGCCAAAAAGTATTTAAACATGTTTATTTATTACAACAACAACAACATTATTTAGACATATTATAGAAAGTGAGTCTGATTTCTTTCTCTGGGTTTGGAATGTACCGGTTGTATGCAGAAGATTTACAGCGACCAATTTTCTTTATGATATGTGTCGGAACCCGACTACTAGTGGCAGCCCCAATTCAGAATGAGTGTCCTGAGAAGGAATTTGAATAAGTATAGCATGAATTGTTTAGTAGTAAGTGGCTTTCCTTGTAGGGATAACAGAGGCAGTTCTGGATTTCTAAGATGCTGATTTTTTATCAAATTATCTAGCAGTTGAACTGGGCACCATTTGGAACCGGTAGGGAAATAATTAATCTCCACTGAGGAGCCTACTTGGTTTGTTTTTGTGCAGGGGATCGATAGGACGTAATGATCGTTTACTTAGGTTAAGTTTTTCTGTTTAAGGCAAATGTCAATGTCAGATATTTTTTCTACCGTAAATTCTTTGGGTATTAGAAACCCAAAAAGGCCGCTGATTTAATGATCAGGTTAGTGGTATGTTCAAAAGGACTTTTATCTAATAACTTGGAGATTTCTTTAAAGATGTTACTGTCTATGGGAAGTCTTTTTTAGGGATTTTTGGATTTTTAGTCTCTGGATACCTTTTAGTATGTTTTTTATGGGGTATGTGGATAAGAAAGGAGTCTTGTTTGGATAAAGAGTTAGCATGAAATGTTGTATCCCCGCCAAGTATAGTTTGATGGTATTGTAGGCTAGTTTTAATGAGAAGTGGCAAAAAAGTTGTAAAAGCAACCATGTTTTCTACAGAAAAATGATTATATTATTTTATTTTAATATATTTTTTATTGAATTTTCATCATCAGTGGTGCAGTTTGAACCAATGATACAATTTAAAGTAGTACAAAAACAGGTACAACATTAACGTTGGGGTGTGGTTGGGAACATGTACAGTTAGGTAACATGGATCGGTATACACAGTCGCTTATACAGTCATTGCTCATATAGCCAGCCCAACATCTGACCTGCCTTTGCTTACCAGGTGGTGGACATATGTATGTGTCTTTATGCTCTATAGTAGTTCACACATATAGTTACTGATAATAATTACAAGGGGCTAATGGATATCCCTGCTGTTATGGCTCTATCTTGTAATATGCCGGTTGTACAGTTCTACCCATGGGGACCATGTTGTGTGAAACCTCTGTGCCATTTTGGTATCAGGTACGGCCATTCTTTCATAGATGTAGAATTGGTGTATTTTGTCCCATAATTGGGTTTTGTTTGGACAAGTTGTGGATTTCCAGTGGAGAGCCAGTAGGCTACGGGCTGCTAAGGTGATAATGGCACACAGCTGTTTGTGTGAGTTTCTGAATGTCGGAGGGAACCTCATGAGTAAGTATGTTTCAGGTGTATTTTGGGTATCTGGGATTTGGAGTGCACGGAACATATTGTGTACCTCTGTCCATAAAGGCTGGATGTTGGGGCACCTTCAACAGACATGTATAAGTGTACCCTCTTCTGCGGAACATCTTCAACACAATGGGGTTGAGTTTGGGTATATTTTGTGAAGCTTGTGTGGGGTTAGGTACCATCTGTATAGTAGCTTTCTATGTGCTTCTATATGTGTATAGCATTTTGTCCATTTAGATAGGTCATTTAGTACATGTATCCATTCTTCGTCTGTGAGCTGAATGGCACAGTCTATTTCCCACAATGTTTTGCAATGCGGTGATGTGTTAGGTGTAGTGTTTTCCCAGGCTTTATAGCATAGGGAAATGGTTTTTGGTTTTGTGGGGTGTTTCCAACACCTTTCTATTATTGCCTTTGTTGGTGGGGACATTTGGGTAGGGTTTGTTTGTTGGTTACTTACACATGTGGTGATAATTGCCTTAAGTTGTAAGTGTGTGAAAATAGCGTCATTGGGAAGCTCCCATTTGTGTTGTATGTCGGGGAATGGCATCATTCCTTGAGGTTGGAGCAGTTGGTGTATGTGTGTTATTCCTGCCAGCGACCAATTCTGAAAGCGTATGTCTGGTGAAATAGCCCTTAAGGCTGTCAATGGTGCCTCTGCATGGAATTTATTCTTATTCCCCACATTTTCCAAAAATGTCGTCCAGAATTGGATAGTATGCTTTGTGGTGGGTTGAGGTCAGATTTTAATTACCTTAATTTTCTCGGTGTCCACAAGTGTGCTAGTGCCGAGTTGTTGCTGAACTGAGCTTTCTCCATGTCCACCCATTGTATGATCCCTTCAGTGGTGTGTAGCAGTATCCCCATTGCTAAGGCTGATGCTTTATAATACAGATCTATGTTGGGTAGCCCCACTCCGCCATGTTTTGAGTGTTTATATAGTATCGTACTTGCAATGCGTGTTTTTTTGTGTTCCCATATGAACACGTTACATATGGTTTGTAGTGTTTTTATGAGTGTTTTTGGGGCCTGTAGGGGGAGCATTCTGAATATATATATAGTATTTTTGGTAAGAACACCATCTTATACGCATTTATTCTGCCTAACCAGGAGATGTGTGATTGTGACCATTTGTGTATTTCATTTTTGCCTTGTTGTGGGAGTGGGAGATAGTTTACTTTAAATACTTCCGCTACAGAAGGTGCAATTTTTACGCCAAGGTACGTAAGTGAGGATGTCCTCCAATCGAATAGGTATTTCTCTTTCAGTGTGGCTGCGGTGGAGGAGGGGAGTTTAATGGGTAGTGCTTGTGTTTTGTCTTGGTTTAGGCGGTAGTGTAATATGTCCCTGAATCTCGCCAAGGTCTCCATCAGGGGGGTACTGATTTTTGAGGGTTTTCTAGTGTTATTAAGATATCATCTGCGAATAGTGCTAGTTTGTATTCGTTACCTAAGATTTTGATGCCTTGTATGCAGTGATCATTTCTTATTTTTTGTGCTAGCGGTTCGAGGGACAATATGTAGAGTAGGGGAGACAGGGGACACCCCCGTTGTGTTCCGTTGGATATATGGAAGGAGGTCGAGAGGAAGCCACCATGGGCCACTTTGGCTGCTGGTGTCATATATAGTGCCATAACCCCTTTGATAAATTCGGCGGGGAAGCCGAATTTTTGTAATACTTTTTGCATGTAAGCCCAATTGAGTCGGTCGAAGGCCTTCTCTGCATCAAGTGCTAGAAGGAGGCCTCCAGGTGACCCTTTCTCCATTGTAGCATGTATGTTAAGAATTTTTCATGTGTTATCGGAGCCCTGCCATCCTCTGACAAACCCTGATTGATCGTTGTGTATTAGTTCACTTATTATGGACGTGAGTCTGTTACTCAATATTTTCGCATATAGTTTGTCGTCACTATTCAGAAGGGAGATTGGTCTAAAGTTTTTGCAGGTGGTGGGTGGCTTGCCTGGTTTGGGTAATGTCGAGATGTGAGCTAACAGTAGTTCTGCTGGCAGGGCTCCTTTGTCAAGACTGTGTTGGTATAGATTTAGGAGGTGGGGGAGTAGTAGTTTGGAGAAGTCTTTATAGGAGGCCATCCGGTCCTGGGGATTTGTTTGATGGTTCGTTTAGTCTCCAGGTGGTTTGGCCAGTAGAGGGGCATTGTTCAGATAGGGTCAGTGTGATAGGGGTATGGTCTGAACATGATATGATACCAATTTCTGCACTTATCATTCTCTCTAGTGATGTGTTCTTTATTAGAAATCTGTCAATCCTGGAGTAGCTATTGTGTGCAGCGTTGTAGCAGGTGTAATCTATTTCAGCTAGGTGGGATATTCTCCATGGATCTACATAGTTATTTGTCGTTAGTGTTCTGCGCATGTTAGATGTTTGTGTGTGTCTCTGTTTTGAGGTAGCTGTGGTTACCGTTCTTGCGGCGGAGGAGTCCATATTGATGTCTAGGAGAAAATTAGTGTCGCCTCCAAGAATTACCTCCCCAAAGCTGTACATTGACAGGAGAGAGAATACATTAGTTATAAATACTTGTTGGTTTTCATTAGGGCTATAGACATTTATCAATGTATACGGTTGATTGTTTATGCGACATTGTAATATAAGGTATCTGCCTTTTTTGTCATTTATTTTGCGTATGAAGTCAAAAACATGTATTAATATCGATACACATCTTTTTTTTTTTGTGGTAGCACGTGTGGTAGTCTACTGGGAACCAAGCAGAGTTAAACCTGGGTTTGGATCCCCACTGAAAGTGAGTTTCCTGGAAAAATGCCACATGTGCTCCTTGTTTCTTGGCCTCTTGGAGAGCCAATTTATGCTTATTAGGTGAATTTAAGCCTTTGGTGTTCAGCGAGAGGAATTTTAGCGGCATGATGCTATTTTCCTTACTTGTTATGGTTTGTACAACCGGCTATATCTGTTGGTGGGGTGGGAAGAGCACAGGTTTATTGGGTTGTTACCTAAGCTGTGGGAAGGTGACCTGTTTGGTCACTCGTAGGGTATTGGAGGGGAAAAAACGATGTACAATTGCCCGTTAGCCTCTTGGGCCTAATGCAAGGTTTTGCAGATGGGTATGTGGTGGCCTACCTAGTAAGCCTTGCGTGGGGGTTGGTGGTTTTTCTATGCGAGGTGTGATAAACAATGTCCACTTGTATATTAGGTGAAAAAAAAAAAAAAAGCAAGTAAAAAGTTATAAGCAGCAGTTATACAGTTAGCAGTGGCCTAGCGCCGACCATGGGCTTAGCATTTATTTATTTATTTTTTTGCGTCAGAGATATACATTAAATCAACACATTCTTATGCACATTTAACCTGTTAAACATGAAGCCAGATTAGTTAGTAAAGTTACGTGTCCTTGTGCGCAATTGGAGAGGGCTTAGGGATGAGGATTTCTTCGACTTTGAGGGGTTGCCTTATTCCATAGGACTTGTTGCCAGTCTCTCGCCACTTTACGTGGTGGTGGCATGTCCGAACTTTGTGGGTCAGTTGTTGGGATAGGGACATTCCAGTCTTCTAGAATTTTTCTTCCTTCTTCCGGTGTTAGGATTGCTCGGTCAATTCCATTTCTCTTGATGATTAGTTTGGTAGGGAATCCCCACTTATACAATATATTGTCGTTTCGGAGAGCCATTGTTATAGGTGCGAATGATCTTCTTTTAAACATGGTGGCCGCTGATAAGTCTATGAATAATTTAATGTCTGTATATCCTTCAGGAAGGGGTGTATTGAGTCTAGAAGCCTGCATGATTTGGTCTTTGACCGTGAAGTAGTGGATTCTAGTGATGACATCTCGGGGATATCTCGGCTTGGGCAATCTGTGTGATCTGTCAAGTCGGAGATCGGCCTCTGTTAATGTTGGAATTATAGATTTAAACAGCTTTTGTACAAATTGTGGGAGGTCTTGTGGACCCACATTTTCGGGTATTCCACGGATCCTGATATTGTTTCTTCTATCTTGGTCCTCATTATCTGCAATTTTCCCCTCCAAGTATCTGACCTTGTTTTCCAGTGCTACATGCGCCTCTGTGTGCTTCTAGTAATACCTAGTAATTTTTCTTCCAAGTGTGCTGTCCTGTCCCCCAATGCCTGGATTTTAGTGGATTGGAGGGGTATGGGCCTGCCGATCGTTCTTGAGTCCCGGCTTCTGACATACATGCTGGCCGCAAGATTCATTCTTTTCACGCTAAGTTCCCTCTCAAACCTGGTCCTGCCCACCCAGTGAGTGGTCTTAACGTGGGGGATACTGTCACGGTGCCGCGGGTTTCTGTCAGCGTGACCGCACTGAAAAAGAGCGGTCACGCCAACAGAAATAACAAACACTCATCTTACCTGTGGCAGATTAAAACCCGACCTCCTTCCATCTCAGTCCCCGCTGTGTGCGGAGTTAGCAGAGATGCCTGCCGCTGCGGTTCTGTTTCTAATAAAGAAATATCCTTTGCCCATATCAAAGATATGCATGCACATTTTGGGGTCAGAGGTCACATTTAGCCAATTACAGCTCTAGGAGGGTTATTTAACCCCAAATTACCATTTGATCAGTGCCCTGTCGTGGTTTCCCTTAGCTGGTTATACGAGAGAGTGTTCCTTATCTTTGTATTTCTGGTATTTGACTTTGGCTTCGTTTGACTCCCCTGATTTCTGGTATCCTTGACTTTTGTCTTTCCCTCATCGTGTTTCATTCTGTATCCCTGACCTCGGTAAGTATTTTGACTATTCTTGGTTACATTCAGTCCGGCCATTCTAAGGTCCGTTTATATATTATCCTTAGTCCTAGGTTTGATACTATTTCTGCGTGCTAGATCAACAGTAATCCTAAGAGTGAGCACTTCTCCTTTGCTGAGATAATCCATCTATCTCACAGGTGTGGCATATTAAGATGCTGATTAGACAGAATTAATATTGCACAGAATATTGCCACTCTAAAATGTGCAGTTTTACTGTATTCGAGGAAATCAGGGAGGGGGGTCGAAAACCAGTCAGTATCTTTTGTGACCACAATTTGCCTCACGCAGTGCAACACATCTCCTTCGAATAGAGTTGATCAGGTTGTTGACTGTGGCCTGGAATGTTGGTCCACTCCTCTTTAATGACTGTGCGAAGTTGCTGGACATTGGCAGGACCTGGAACACTCTGTCGTATATGCCGATCCAGAGCATCTCAAACAAGCTCAATGGGTGACATGTCCATGAGTATTCTGGCCATGCAAGAACTGGGATGCTTTCATCTTCCAGGAATTGTGTACAGATCCTTGCAACATGGGGCCGTGTATTATCATGCTGCAACATGAGGTGATGGTTGTGGATAAATGGCACAACAGTGGGCCTCAGGATCTCCTCAAGTTACCTCAAAATGCCATCAATAAAATGCTACAAAGAAAAAAGGAAAGGTAGCGGCACTAAAAACCAAATAAGTTAAATAAAAGCATAAAACAGGCAAAATAAACAACAAAATATAAAGTAGGGAGTAAAGAACTTAAAAGTCCAGGGTAAATAGTCTGAATGGTAGATGAATCCAACACCTAGGTATTCCTTTGTGGAAGGGGATACAGTCTTTAGTAATGGGGGATTCTTCAGAGTGGTATGGATGCGTCTTTGTAAATCATATTAAATAGAAAAGATAACAACTGATTGTGTAGTATGTCCCAAAAGGGGTAGAAACAATAATTAAAATTTTAACATTACAATATTGTTTTAATAAAGGCATTTTGGCTACTTTCTTACTGTGAGTTAGCCATTCTACTTTTTTATCCTTTTACTTTTTTACTACTACCATCCTTTTTATCCGGTACCAGAAGTGTTTTTACTTTCCAGTGAGGATATTACTCAGAAGAATCATAGGTGGGGATTATACCACTCAAGCTGTATTCATTGAACAGTTAGTCTGTTCAATCAAATGTGAGTAACCACTTGGTATTTTATCTTTTCACCTCTGGCATTTTATACTTTGAGCACTATTGCTGTCCCCGTTTTTATTTTCACATACGGTTCCCTAATCAAGCAAGAATACAAAGACCTCACATATCCCATAAGTGGGGATTATACCACTGTACGTTATCAACACTAGAGCTAAGCTCATAGCTCTAAGAAACGTGAGTAGGACCATATATTCTTTTATTGTTTCTACCCCTTTTGGGACATACTACACCATCAGTTGTTATCTTTTCTATTTCATATAATTTACAAAGATGCATCTATACCACTCTGAAGAATCCCCCATTACTAAAGACTGCATCCCCTTCCACAAAGGAATACCTAGGTGTTGGATTCATCTACCATTCAGACTATTTACCCTGGACTTTTAAAGTTCTTTATTCCCTACTTTATATTTTGTTGTTTATTTTGCCTGGTTAATGCTTATTAGTTTTTTTAGTGGCGCTACCTTTCCTTTTTTCTTTGAATCATTTCTGCTGTAGGGCCTGTGAGGGAGCCCTATTTTGAGGTGTGCTGCCAAAATTAATCTTTTCTGTTATTTATTTGTGTAGATAGAGAGCACTGATCCCTTTCTTCCGTTCATGAATAAAATGCACCTGTGTTTGTTGTTCATAACATATGCCTGCCCATACCATAACCCCAATGCCACCATGGGCCACTTGATCCACAAAGGTTGACATCAGCAAATCGCTCACCCACACAACGTCATACACGCTGTCTGGCATCTGTCCTGTACATTAAAAAATGGGATTCATCCGTGAAGACAACAACATGCCAGATGCCATCACATGTGAGCATTTGCTCACTCAAGTCGGTTTACGATGACTAACTGCAGTCAGTTCAAGACCCCAATGAGGACGACAAGCATGCAGATGAGTTTCCATGAGATGGTTTCTGACAGTTTGTGCAGAAATTCTTTGGTTATGCAAACCAATTGTTGCAACAGCTGTCTGGGTGGCTGGTCTCAGACGATCTTGGAGGTGAAGATGCTGGATGTTGAGGTCCTGGGCTAGTGTGGTTGTGGTTAATGTGGTCTGCGGTTGTGAGGCCAGTTGGATGTACTGCCAAATTCTCTGAAATGCCTTTGGAGACAGCTTATGGTAGAGAAATGAACATTTAATTTACGGGCAACAGCTCTGGTGGACATTCCTGCAGTCAGCATGCCAATTGCACGCTCCCTCAAACTTGCAACATCTGTGGCATTGTGCTGTGTAATAAAACTGCACATTTTAAAGTGGCCTTTTATTGTGGCCAGCCTGATGCACACCTGTGCAATAACCATGCGGTCTAATCAGCATCTTGATATGCCACACCTGGGAGGTGGATGGATTATCTCAGCAATGGAGAAGTGCTCACTAACACAGATTTAGATAGATTTGTGAACAATATTTAAGAGAAATAGGCCCTTTGTCTACATAGAAAAAGTCTTAGATCTTTGAGTTCAGCTAATAAATAAATAGGAGGAAAAAAACAAAAGTGTTGCATTTATAATTTTGTTCAGTGTGTGTGTGTGTATGTATATATATATATGTGTTACAAAATGTCTTTTGTAACTGTCTCTTTAAGTGACAAATTGCCCTGCTTCCCTGTATTATGGAGAAGCCTTATTGCCAGCCTCCTTCCTCATGACTATGGCCCTGGTGTGTATGGCCCTTTAAGAACAATCTGTGAGCATATTGGGGCTTATGGACTTTTATGGGACTGGTGCTGGCCCTTTAAGCACATTTTTGGGACATAGGGAAAATTAGGACAATGCCCCTTTAAGACGGTGTCCACAGACTTGTTTGGGACACTGCCCCTTTGAGCCTGTGTCCCCAGACTTGGTTAAAATCCTTTGTTCATGGCTATTTTCCACTTGGTTCAGTAAATGGGGCTTACTGAACCAAGTACCACACAGGCGGACCACCCAGGAGTGGAAGTGTGCCATCAATTTACCTCCCAGGCTGGGAGCCTGCTGTAGGTAAATTGTTGACCGCTGGGTGGCCGCAGTTCGTGCAAACGAACACGTGGCAGCGGCCATCTTCATTCATTCGAACAAGGTCAGCGGTATGTGTAGCCAAATCCATGGAACTGAAATCGGCTACAAATCAACGAACACCGCTGACCCTTACCTTCTCCTGCACTGAGTTTTCAGCCACAGAGACTAAGTCCCATTCGGCTGTTTGAACTCACTGTTATACTGAGCCAAATGCACAAATGGCCCCGTTCGTGCATTCGAATGGGACTAAGTCATTTTTCGGTGTAAAATAGACCGACTGCACAGCGCAAATCTATGGAACTGTTTTGGGCAGGAAAATGTGCTTGTGGTCGGTCATAGGCTAACTTTTTATCTACTGGAGGGATTTGTGTGATTTTGGTTATGTTTATATTTAAAGTATGCTGATTCTGAATATTAAATTTTTATGAAGATTGGACATATATTTTTAAAGTTACAGTGTATGTATAAAAAGTGTATTGTTCCTGCCTGTTATAATTACTTTAACCCATTGTGTTCAGTAATTATATCAGAGGCAGAGGGGAGGATTTGTGTGTTATTGATGGGTGTGTTTTTACTGTATGTTACGTGTTTATTAGTTGTTCTGTAAAACCCTGTAGGCGGTCTTGTATGTGTAAGACCTCCATAAAAGAAGGCCTTTTGGTGCCAATTAAACAGAACTACTTGACCCTCTAACTTGCAGCCTCGACTCATGTTTGTAGGGGACAGCTATAATCACTACAGGGATTGCTATGCTCTTCATACTCCCTTAGCAAGAGCTTTTGTAAGAGCTCTTGTTCCTGATCCTGCTTCGCTCTACAGAAGGAAGAGGTTCACCTACTGGAACCTGGAGCCTGGTCGTATGTCCAGGGTGGAAAGCAGACGGCGGGATCCCAGCCCAGCATCGGCGGTTTGTGGAGTCTGCAGTGCTTATAGTGTTTACGGTGCTGATGGTCCTTCGGTGAGCGCTAGGAGCATCCTTTCTACGGTCCAACTTCCAGCCAGCCTGGAGGCAACCGTAACAATATGTATGGGAGGGAACACAAAAATAACACATCCTAGATCTAAATGAATTAAATATTCTTCTGAAATACTTTGTTCTTTACATAGTTGAATGTGCTGACAACAAAATCACACAAAAGTTAAAAAATGGAAATCTAATTTTTCAACCCATGGAGGTCTGGATTTGGAGTCACGCTCAAAATTAAAGTGGAAAAACACACTACAGGCTGATCCAACTTTGATGTAATGTCCTTAAAACAAGTCAAAATGAGGCTCAGTTGTAGTGTGTGTCCTCCTTCGTGCCTGTATGACCTCCCTACAACACCTATGCTTGCTCCTGATGAGGTGGCGGATGGTCTCCTAAGGTATCTCCTCCCAGTCCTGGACTAAAGCATCTACCAACTCCTAGACAGTCTGTGGTGCAACGTGACGTTGGTGGATGGAGCGAGACATTATGTCCCAGATGTGCTCAATTGGATTCAGGTCTGGGGAACGGGCAGGCCAGTCCATAGCATCAATGCCTTCGTCTTGCAGGAACTGCTGACACACTCCAGCCACATGAGGTCTAGCATTGTCTTGCATTAGCAGGAACCCAGGGCCAACCGCACCAGCATATGGTCTCACAAGGGGTCTGAGGATCTCATCTCTGGACCTAATGGCAGTCAGGCGAGCACATGGAGGGTTGTGCGGCCCCCCAAAGAAATGCCACCCACACCATTACTGACCCACTGCCAAACCGGTCATGCTGGAGGATGTTGCAGGCATCAGAAAGTTCTCCACGGCGTCTCCAGACTCTGTCACGTCTGTCACATGTGCTCAGTGTGAATCTGCTTTCATCTGTGAAGAGCACAGGGAGTGAGTGGCGAATTTGCCAATCTTGGTGTTCTCTGGCAAATGCCAAACGTCCTGCATGGTGTTGGGCTGTAAGCACAACTTCCCCCTGTGGACGTCGGGCCCTCATATTACCCTCATGGAGTCTGTTTCTGACCGTTTGAGCAGACACATGCACATTTGTGGCCTGCTGGAGGTCATTTTGCAGGGCAGTGCTCCTCCTGTTCCTCCTTGCACAAAGGCGGAGGTAGCATTCCTGCTGCTGGGTTGTTGCCCTCCTACGGCCTCCTCCACTTCTCCTAATGTACTGGCCTGTCTCCTGGTAGCGCCTCCATGCTCTGGACACTACGCTGACAGACACAGCAAACCTTCTTGCCACAGCTCACATTGATGTGCCATCCTGGTATTCCAGATGTTTTGCACTACACCTCCCATGATGGTTTGCCAGCATTATGGAGATGTAATTCACAGCATCTGGACTGCCCAAGGTTACCTACCTCTGAACTATGCCGTGATCACAGTACACAATGTTGAAGTTGCTGTGCAAACAGGAGCAGCTTGTCATGTGTCAGATGCCACTTCATTAGTTATAAATTCAATACTCCACCCTGGAAACGAGCATCAAACATGGGCTTCTTCATTCCTCTTCATGTACTTCGTGTCCCATAGGAGAACATGCTTGTCAGAGCTGTGACACACACAAAAAGAAATAAACTGGTTAGAGTAACTGGCATAACAGACACAGTGCATGCAGACTTGCGTGCCACATACATACAGCAGACAGATACAAAGATTGTGGGAGACACACCGGATTAAATATAAGAATTGGGAGTACCATACATACACAATGCACAAAGAGACGGAGATTACTGAATTCAGTGACCGACGGATTTGGTTGTAGATGTGGGGCTGTCCCTCTCGCTGGGGTGCAGTTTCTCATCCTTCTCTGGCGAGTGACTAGATGGCTGCGGTTTCATAGCAAAAAGCATGCCATGGCATATGATATCTAGGAAATAAATATTTTTCTGTGAAACTAGGGTTGTACAAATCTAACACACAGGCCACACGTACTGTACAGCTCCCCATCTAACGCACAGCCCCCAAATATAATACACTGCCCCCCCACATGTAACAAACAGCCCCTCCATCTAACACACAGGCCACCCCAATATACTTCACAGACCCCACAATATACTGCGCAGCCCCCCATATACAGTGCAGACCCCCATATACTGCACAGACCCCCCATATACAGCGCAGACCCCCCTATACAGCGCAGACCCCTCCTATACAGCGCAGACCCCTCCTATACAGCGCAGACCCCCATATATAAGCAGACCCCCCTACATGGCGCAGACCCCCTATATAAGCGCAGCCCCCTGTACAGCGCCAGGCCCCCATACAGCGCAGACCCCCTATACAGCGCCAGACCCTATAGCATGAGCGCAGACCCCCCATACAAGCAGACCCCCATATACAGACCCCCATATATAGGACCCCTATACAGCATATATAAGCGCCAGACCCCCATATATATAGACCCTATACAGCAGACCCCTTAAGCGACCCCCATACAGCTTAGACCACCCCTATACAGCTAGACCATCCCTATACAGTGCAGACCCCCATACAAGCCCAGACCCTATACAGACCCCCCATTAGACCCCCATATATGGCGCAGACTCCCCATACAGCACAGACCCCTCTATGGCGCAGACTCCCCCTACCGACCCCCATACAGCGAGGCGCCCCATATATAGCGCCAGACCCTATACAGCGCAGACCCCCTATCCAGCGCAGACTCCCCTATACAGCGCAGACCCCCATATATAGCCCCTATAGACGCTCCCCCCATACAGCAGACCCCCCACATAGGCGCCAGACCCCCCCTACAGCGCAGACCCCCCATACAGCGCCAGACCCCCTACAGCGCAGACCCCCATACAGGGCAGACCCCCCCCCCATAATAATGTACTAAAAAACCCCACTCCCCAATATAATGCACTGAAACCCCCCTAATATAGTACCCCCTCCCCTCGGATGGCTGAGAGTGTTGGGAGCAGGGAGAGACTGACCTAATCCCAGAAAAGGCTTTACCCACACGATCAGAGTCCGCGCATGCGCAGTATAGAGGTAGGGAGATTTCACACGGCTTAATGGCCATCAGATTTCCCTACCCCTATACTGCGCATGCGCGGTGTGTGAAGCGCTCCATGTCCCCAAGTGCGCACGCGCGCTGTACCTCCGACGGGAGTACTGTGCCGCGCGTGCGCACTATGCCTTCAGGGTCTCTCCTCAAAGTGAAAAATCCCTACCTCGGTTGTGTGCGCCTGCGCGGCAGCGCACACCCCCGTCCCAACGTCACTTCCGGTGCGGCTTCGTCACCGGAAGTGACGCGGGTAGGGTTTTCTAACGGGGTAGGGAAATTTGATAGAACAGGGGCCCTAAATACTTAAAGGGGGGACCTAATGTCCTCAGCCCTGACTGGTGGGTGGGGGCCCTGAATACCAATGGGGGACCTATTGTCTCACCCCTGAGTGGCGGGTGGGGGCCCTAAATAAATATTTACCCCCCCAGGTGACTAGGGGTCCCCCAAACCCTAGTCACCCCCTCCCAAAAAAAAACTAACCCCTACCTATCCCCCTCACCCTAAAAATAATGAAGGGGGCACCTGTAAAAAAATTTAAATTAAACTTACTATTTGATGTTTTCTTTCTTCTAAAATCTTCTTTTTTCAGCCCCAAAAAAGGCCAAATAAAAATCCATAATAACCGAAGCAAAAAACGAGCGCAAAAAAACCCCAATCCTCCTTCACCTATGGAGGGCTCCGTGCAGACTGAGCTCTGCAGGGCGGGGGAAGGCATATAAAGCCTTGCCCCGCCCTGCAATTAGGCTCAGAGCACTCTGATTGGTGGGTTTGACTCATAACTCTCTGATTGGTTACTTAATCCACCGATCAGTGTTACGAGTCAAATTACACAGCATGGAAAAATTCCAAAGACCTTTCCCACGCTGTGTAAAATGACACAGAGCACTCTGATTGGTGGATTTCAAGCCAACCAATCAGAGTGCTGTGACAGATAAATGACTTACCTGTCAGTCTCTTCATTTACCTGTCAGAGCACTCTGATTGGATGGCTTAAACCCACCAATCAGAGTGCTCTGAGCCTAATTGCAGGGCAGGGCAAGGCTTTATAAGCCTTCGGCAACTTCGGCAATTCATCTATTCGGACATTCGGAAGTACCCGAAATTTATCCGAATTAACATTCGGACCGAAAGAATTGCACATGTCTAATTGACCCTGTAACTCTTCAAAACACCATAAAATGTGAACATAGGGGGTTTTGTTATACTCAGGAGACTTTGCTGAATACAAATATGAGTTTTTCAACACAGTGAAACTTATCACAACGATGATATCACCAGTAAAATGCCAGTTTTTGTTTTAAAAGTCCTGTAAGTAACTCAATTATCTGCAGGCAGAAAAAACTAATTTTTACAAAGTCCAATAAGTACCCCAAAACATAACATATCCCCACATCCACTGATAGACCATATCTGGGTGAACAACATATCCAAAATCACCCAGATCAGAGCAGGGGTTCAGGAAATTCCTGGAAGTCTTTTTTTGACCCACTGTGCACATGGTCCCATGCCCAAAAAAGTTCCAGAGAATTAGGGCTACCGGTCTCTTTGTCTGGAGTACAAGTGTACATACTTCACAGGAACAGAGTATTTTAAAGTGCATTGGGCAAGGTATATTGCAGGGCCTATAGTCATGAGGCAGGAACCTGGTAACTTTTGTCACAGGTATATCTAGCAAACCCATGAATGCCAACTTAAACATAGTATCTTATGTCATCTAACAAACACTATACACATTATTCTGGACAAAATCTATATTATTGAATATGTGCCTAACAAGTGTATGGATACTCTCTACAGATTTAGCCGATACCAGCTAATATGTTATAAACAGCTCATACTAGGGAAGCTGCTGTCTTCCCAATCAATTAATGAAAATAACAATAGTAATAAAAAAAAAAAAACAAGATTACACAATAAAGTGACCTATTCTACTCGAATACCAGAAGTGTCTGTTTTGTCGATACTATTCAAAATCGTAGAAATATGGCAAACGGCATTCACTTACAATTAACTTGTTATTACCTACTAGAGTGACTGTTACTCACTACATTCAGATAATAGTATTAAACATGTAAATAGTTGGTACTAATCCGAAAGCACCATATGGACTACAGCCCAAAATTGTATAATACATAGAAAATAAATAAAAATTCCCTACCGCTACCTATAAAACTCACGCTGACTTATGATGCCAACAGCATCCAATATTTGGATGTCTCACTGTTCAAAACTGAGGAGGGGATAGGTTACATTACTAGCGGGCACTGGACCGTGTTATAAACGGCGCATACTAAAGAGGTGTAAATTAACCATTTGTCTACTGGCATATGTAAAGGCATACAGATGCCCTAGGCATTAATTACAACTATGCTGTAATAAAGTAATGTATAGAGAAAGCTGCTATTCATTCACTTACTGGCCCAAATATATATTAATAATATGAATTATAACAGTGCCATAAATAAATCTTGCGAATGTAGCATATATTTTATATATAAAACCTATACATTGGGGGCACTGTTGTACTCGGGAGATGTTGCTGAACACATATTGGGGTGTTCTTTGTCAGTAACACATAACAGGAACTGAGAATCCATGCCTAAAGTACAATGTGAAAAGAAAAATAACACAAAAAAATGACTACCCAAAGTTTGAAAAAGACTGGTGGTAGAATTAGTGCATGGAAAGTGTTAAAATACCACCATTTGAAATAGCCTAGGGTGTCTACTTTTCAAAAATATATGGTTTGATTGGGGTAATTTACATTCGCCGCCTTCTAAAATGTTCAAAATAGGACATGGGTGCATGATGACCAGCTGAGAAAATTCCAAGTTGGAAAACTGGAATGCGCACCCTCCAAATAAAGTTCTCCGTACATATATTCTTAAATTGCTATGTGTGTCAAACAAATCACCAATTATTATTAATTTTTTAATGTGGCATACATTGATGGTAACATAGCTGCATGAAAAGAGTCAAAACACCACAAGTTTAATACCTTAGGTTGTCTTCTTTTAAAAAATATATATATCTGAAGGGTTATTCAGGGATTCCTGACAGATATCAGTGTTACATTGTAACCTGTATTAATTTTGAAAAAAAAAAAATGGTTTGGAAATAGCAACGTGCTACTTGTACTTATAGCCCTATAACTTTCCCAAAAAAGCTAAGAACATGTTAATATTGGGTATTTCTAAACTCAGGAGAAAATTTTAAAACTATTTAGCACAGGTGTTTTTTGGCGGTTGTAGATGTGTAAAAGATTTTGAAGGTCAAAGTTAGAAAAAGTGTGTGTTTTTTTTATCATATTTTATAAAAAAATATTATAGTAAAATATATGATATGATGAAAATAATGGTATCTTTATAAAGATCATTTAATGGAGAGAAATATATATACTGTAAATGAGTGAGAGGAAAATTACAGCTAAACACAAACACCGCAGAAATGTAAAAGGAGCCCTGGTCCTTAACGGTAAGAAAACTGAAGAACGGTCTTGTCACTAAGGGGTTAACTGATTTGAGTTTTCCTTGTGCTGCTTTTCTCCGTACCGTGTAACCTTCGTAAGCACATGCATCCAGCTACATCAAAGGTCGTTTAGCAGGATGGAAAGTAGCCGTTACCATCACAACAGTTCCTACTAATTTGAGTTTCCTGCTTCTCTGTACAATGTGACCTTGGTAGTACCCGATACCATTCAGCATTTATTCCAGCTAATTTACTTGCGTTAAACTGTTGCCTTCCCGCCGGTGTTCTGATAGATATAGATTTCTGAAAGAACACCTGTGATCAGGGCCGTCTTTAATGTTGATTGGACCCTGGGAAAACTTGGGCCCCCTGGTCCCCTCCCTCCCACCTTGTAGCATGCAAACACGCCTTCCACCCAAAGACACACATAAAGAAAACACACAAAAAAACACACACACACAGATCGTAGACTTAGCCACACTTATTTTTCAACTAGAGAAAATACACACACTGACACACGTACAGACATACACAGGTACATATATCCAATGACAGATACACAGACACAGAGGTGCATACACAGATACACACTTGCACACATACAGATACACAGATACACTCACTGACAAACATGCAGACACACACACATATAAATACACCCTGACACACAATAACACACATATAGATACATACACGGACAACCATGCAGTTACATAGACACACACTAACACACATACAGATAAAAAGACACGGACAGATACACAGGGGCACACACTGACACACATGCAGATTCACAGACACACATACAGACACAGAGATACACATACAGACACACTGACATACATGCAGGTACACAGACACACTTAATGACAAACATTTAGATACACAGGATGACACTCATATAGATGCAAACATTGACACACACAGATACAGAGGGGCACACACCGACACACATATAGACACACGTACAGGTAGAAACACACACAAATATGCATACAGAGACACATACAGATACACATATAGAAGGATAGAGACACACAGATACACATAGACATATACACAGATACAAATACAGACAGATACACATACATACACACAGATAAACAGACACATGCATATACACATACAGAGAGATATACATACAGACACACACACAGACTGATACACATGCAAACAGCTATACACACACAAACAGACACACACGGAAAATATACAATTTCAGCCACCCTCCTGTTTCCTACCTGGGATCCAGTTGCTGCCCTAGGTTGTTGGGCGTTGGGCCCTCTACCAGTCCATGCTCCTCCTCCCTCCCGCGTGGCACTTTCTGTGTTAGCTAGGAGGAAGCAACAGAACTTCCTCCTAGCGCTGACCTAATCATAGGGGGCCCGGTCGCGCTGTTAAAGCGCTGCAGCGCTAACAGGGCCCCTGCAGACTCATTGCCATCAGGGGGCCACCCGATAGGACCTCTTGTTGTGCGACCCGCACGCACCACGGCGGCCGCAAGGGGCAATTGCCCCTTTTGCCCCACATGAAAGCCCTGCCTGTGATTGAGGTAAGTAGAAAGGATGTCAGGGATGAGTTATGGCACCCGGTGGCATTAAAGACTGCATAGTGGTTAAAATTGAGAGTAATGGGGTTATCATTGTTGTTCTAATGTATACTAACTTTTTTTTGCAGTTGAATCTGAAAGACATAGCAAGTTAAAATGACATGCAGCCCTTCAGAAACAACATAGAGGCAAATCATAGATGAAAAAACTGACAGATCTAATAAATTAAACTATTCAAATTAGAAGTAAAAAAAGTGTCGGAAAACTGATAAATCTCCCCAAAAAGTGAAAATGGATTTGTATTTATTTTCAAATTTTGGCAAACATGTAACCTGTGCTGCGGTGAATATCCTACCTGTGCAGCTCAAAGTAATATTAACTTTTCTGAGCTTGCAGTACCTCGCCAAGCAGATTTTGAACTTTTTTTTTTTTTTACAAGACAACAGCAACCGTAAAAGGAAAAAAGGGGCGTAGCGTGAATGAGAAAAATTAGACGCAAGACGTATCGCCGTGAAACTCCGCCCCTTCCGCCTGTACGTTTCTTGCTGTCCTTAGTGTCAATTAGAGGAGACAAGATGGTTCCTCCTGTGCAGGTATCTCCGCTCATTAAAGTAAGTATAGTTTCTTCCTAATTATCGATAGTGTAAATTCTGCACCGAACATAATTCTGGGCAGATCTGTGGATAGACGCTGACTGAGCTAAATTGGTCTGTTTTCTTTCCGAGATTTGAAGGTGACACTGAGTTTGTGGCCTTTAGTCGGAGCGAAGCAATTATGCAGCTACCCTCCTCTAGAAGCACTGTGTGGGTATATTCATATTTTTTTGCGGCGAAAGTGTTTTAGCAAAATGTCGTATTCTGATTTTTAAACGTGATGGGGGGAGAGGTAAACTCCTGAAGACCCAATTTGTTTCCTCTAATAGTAATGTGTTTTTTTTAGATACTCCATTTAAAGTGTGAAGTTAGGGTTGTTTCGTGGTCACGTCTTAAACTCAAATTGGGAAAATATTCTAAAGGCTGCCGAGGAATAATCGTTCCTCATGAACTGCTCAATAGTTAGCAAGTTAGAAAATGCTACTCCTAATAGTTTCTATCCTACAAGTTAAAAACCAATAGTGTTCCTTTAACAATTTAGTAAATATACCCCGATAGAAAATGTGCATGTTTTCTTTGTGGGTATGTGAAAAAGCTGTAGACCTGCCTGCATCATTTGCAAGCCCTCCACACTTTACCAGACACACAGACTGACATTTTGATAGTTTTACTGTTAGTGCTAAATTTTGGAATTCTTGGGACCATAACTAATTTTTGCCCTTTTGTTGTAGTTTATGGTGCTTAGGATTTCTACAGCATTTCATCTCTCACTTCTCCCCTCCCCCTCCTCTCCTTCAACCTGTTTCTTCAGCAGAGAATGAGATATAATTGAAAGAGGAATAATAATTACTGTAGCTTTTAGAGCTGGGCTTGACAAATCCAAGGTTGACGGCGATTAGAAATTTTGTACTAGCACCTTGGATTTGGCTGCCCCTCATTGAAGGCGGCTGTTAAGCTCAGTATTGAAGGCAGCAGTAATCGTTTATTGCTCTGCTGCCTCACGTGATGTTGAAATATGATTTCACTCTGGCCCCTGCATTACAAGAAAGTGCACAAGGAAGCAGAACAGGAAAATTAGAGAGCATGCACGTTGGACCCCAGGGAAAGGATTTATTCAGCTCTCCCAAAGGTAGGGCGGCAGGCTGGATTTAATCCATTAACGTCTTTACGGCATGCTATGCCGTCCCGGCATTAATGGGCTTAACCGCTTAAGGACACAACTTCTGGAATAAAAGGGAATCCCGTCATGTGTTCTTAAGGGGTTAAACGCCTTCATGGCGGCATAGCACGCTGTGGCATTTAGGACCTCCCACGTTGCCCCGATCCCTCCCAAACTGCAGATCACGGTGGGGGGACCTGCCTGGCAACCCAGGCAGGTCCCCTGTGGCCAATCCGCAGTGATCTGCAGTTTGTGATCGCAGTGACAGCCAGTCACTGCGATCACTGTTACACTGTGTCAGCCAATGATTTAGATCACTTCGATCTGAGAGAGAGAGGCAGAGAGATCGTTGCTGGAGAGCCCTGTTGGAGAAAAACCTGTGTGTAAAAATAAAAAAAAGTGTTTTTTTTTTTTTAATAACCATTCCAGTGCTGGTCACAGCATTTAAAACTGTGATCAGCCTGTTTAGGGATTTTAGTACATTTTGTACTATTATTATTTTAATTTTTTTAGGGTCAAACATTTTTTAATTTTTTTTGTCCCTTTGTCAGCCGCAGCAACCCAAATCACCCTTAACCCTTTCCCCGCTGCTGTGATCACTGTACTGTACAGTATTGTACCAGTGATCACTGTGATCATGTTGACTTTTTTGGGGGGTTATTTTTATTAAAAAATCAAAAAATAAAATAAAAATTAACCCTTTCTGTACTGGTCGCAGCAGCCTAAACTGCGATCAGTACATTTATTTTATTTTTTGTGAGTTTTTGAGGGCCCCCCGAATGGCACGTCGCTACTCGGCTGAGGAGGCATACGCCATTCTGGCAGGCAGTGATAGTGACACTCTGCAAGACAGTGACACTATCACTGCCTCTGACATTGAGGCTATGACTGACTCCTCTAGTGATGGTGCCCCACCACCACCAACAAGAGGACGGTCAGCGAGCCCAATGCCAGAAGGAGACTGGTTGCCCCCAAACCTGACGACCCCAGATATTCCCCTATTTACGGCGACCCCTGGCATCATTGTTATGGTGGATGCTTGGGAGCCCCTAAAATATTTTGATTTGTTCATGTTAGAGGAAGTATTTCAGTTATTGGTTGAGCAAACCAATTTATTTGCCAAGCAATAACTGGCTGTGAATCCGGGGTCACATTACAATAGGCGTAATATGTGGCACCCCACGGATCTCGCAGAAATGCACAAATTTTGGGCCCTAACTCTAGTTATGGGCATTGTCAAAAAGCCGAGTATCAGGTCCTACTGGTACAAGCACCCCATCCTGGCTACCCCTCTTTTCCCTGGGGTTATGAAGAGGGATCGCTATGAGCAGCTGCTGCGTTTCCTCCACTTTAACAACAACACACTGTGCCCCCCAAGAAACGACCCATTGTTTGACAGGCTGTACAAAATTCAGCCCCTAATTGAACTACTGTCAGACAAATTCTCCCAAAATTATGTCCCTGAAGAAAATATTTGCATAGATGAGTCCTTAATGAAATTTAAGGGTAGATTACTTTTTAAACAGTATATCCCTTCTAAACGGTCCCAATACAGAGTAAAATTTTATAAATTGTGTGAATCAACATCTGGATATACACGGGCGTTTCGTATTTATCAGGGGAAGGATAGCCATCTTGACCCACCAGGATGCCCTGATTCTGTGGGCACATGTGGCAAGATAGTATGGGACCTAATCCTTCCTTTGTTAAATAAGGGATACAGGCTATGGGTTGACAACTATTACACAAGCATATAGTTATTTAAAACTCTATTTTGCTTTGAGACTGTAGCCTGTGGCACAGTGTGTAAGAATCGTAGAGGTTTCCCCCAAACCCTGACAAGAGGTAGACGCAGTAGAGGCTCCCTTTCAGCGCTCCGCCAGGATGAGTTGCTTGCCCTTCGCTTCACCGATAGGAAAGATGTGTACATGTTGTCTACAATGCACGATGAAACTTCAGTGCCAGTGTCTGTGAGAGGTGGAACTGAGCAGCTGGAAAAGCCGAAGTGCATTGTTGACTACAGCAGGTTTATGGGAGGAGTAGACTTGGCTGATCAGTGTATACAGCCCTATCTGGTGAACCGGAAGAGTAGGACCTGGTACAAGAAAATTGCAATTTACATAACCCAGATTGCAATTTTCAATGCCTATTTGCTTTATAAAAAGGAAGCCATAGGTAGACCATGCCCATTTCTAGAGTTTATGGTCCAAATTTTGTCTCAAATTATATTTGCCCAGACCCCAAATCCTAACCCTCCTTTGGAATCAGAAGATGTCCAACGACTTTTCAGCAAACATTTCCCTTCCCGAATCCCCTCCACACCCTGTAAAAGGTCACCCCAACGGAAATGCCGTGGTTGCTGGAAAAGAGGAGTCCAAAAGGACTCCCGTTATTATTGCCCCTCCTGTCCATCCCTACCCGCCTTCTGCATAACAGACTGTTTTAAAGTCTACCATACAGAGCTGAACTACTAAATAACTCTGTATGGTACTTTGGCAGTTTGTTTGCTTGATTTTCCTGGATTCCCTGACCTCGGCTTGTCCTGACTACGCTTCGTTAGCTGCCTGTACCGACCCATTGGCTTGTTTTTCTGACTATTCTCACTTCTGTATTCCCCTGACCTTGGCCTGTCCCTGTTTATGCTAGCCATTCTAAAGTGGCTACACCAAACAACTCAAAATATACTACATTTGTAGTACTTGAAATGTGCCTTCACAAAAAAAGCAAAAAATTAATCACAGGGTTAATGCTACAGTATCTGAGTCAAAGATGTATCTGCCTTTCTCTGCCTTCAGATCAAAGTGTACTTGATGGTACTGTACTATTCCTGTGATATACTAAAAACCTGGAAACATTGTACATGTAGGTATTGTTATATTCAGAAGACTGTGTTAAATCAAAATACAGAGGTTTTAGTGCACTAACTAATACCAGGATTGACATTTCTAGTGAAAATGCAATTTATGTGATTAAAAAGACAAAATTAAAAGTAGAAATTGCTACATGGGCCCATCATTTCTGTTAAAATGGCTAGACCAAACATATAAAGGTCTGCCATTTGTTGTACTCTGTTGTACTTTTGAAAATGGTATGCCATAACGGTGGAAATGTTATTACCCAGGCTGCCATGCTCTCTAAATAGCCACATAGGCCCAGCAAATCACTTTGTCAAATTTCCAACTTTGAAATGGACATCTAATATATTTGTCCCTGTGACTTCCCCAAAAAACAGAATCTGGTACATGGGGGTACTGTTATATTCAGGAGACAATGTTAAAAAAAAAATAAAAAATAGTGAGGCTTTGTTGCAATAACTCACATCAGGAATAGGAAATGTCCTGTGAAAAGTGAGTTCATGTGTGGAAAAAAGCACAAATTAAACTATTACCGCTATGAGGGCCCTTCATTTCTGATAAAGTGGTTAGACCAAACTTCATAAAATGCATCATTTGAAATACTCTGGGTTGCCTAATTTAGAAAATGCTATGCCACAATCGTGGAAATGTTATTACCCAGGCTGCCATGCTTTCTCAAAGGCAAGATAGGCCCAGAAAATCGCTTTGCCAATTTTCAATGTGTAAAACCAAAAATGGACAAGCGTATATTTGACCCTGTAACTTTCCAAAACCCCATAAAACCTATACATGGTGGGTATCATGGTGCTCGTGAAACATCACCACTGAACAGAACTAGGAGGGTTTCAGGGCAGTATACTATATACTGACGTTAATATTATCAGTAAAAGTACAGTTTTTATGTGAAAAATGCAGAAAAAAAACCATAACACTAACTTTATTAGTTAACACTTTTTTATTTCTTGGCTGCCATACGGTCTCAAAGGCAGCCTAGACACAGCAAACTAATCTGACAAATTTCATTGTGAAAAAGCATAAATGGATAAGCCGTATACATGACCCTGTAACTTTCAAAAACTGCCTAAAACCTATACATAGGGCATACCGTGCAGCTCGTGAGACATCACTGAACAGAACTAGGAGTGTTTCAGGGCAGTAAACTATATACCAACAATAATATTATCAGCAAAAGTACAGTTTTTGCCTAAGTGGCTACTACAAAAGACTGGGCATACCCCATTTTGAATACCCTGGGATGTCTACTTTTTCAAATGGTATGCCATGATGGCGTAACTTAAATTTCTTGGCTGCCATACGGTCTCAAAGGCAACCTAAGCCCAGCAAACCAATCTGTGAAATTTCTATGTAAAAAATAAATAGACAGACAAGACGTATGTTTGACCCTGTAACTTTCAAAAACACCATAAAACCTATACATGGGGGGGGTACAAATATGTATGTTTTATTGCAGTAAAACAAAACAGTATTGTGACATTATCAGTTAACTCCTTAAGGACGGAGCCAAATGTACACGTTGTGAACAAAACAAAATGTAAACAAAACCTGGCATTTGCGCTACATGTCTGTCCAACCGTAATTCACCTCTTTCATTGTAAATGCACCCACACTTATTATATATAATTTTATTCAGGGGAAACAGGGCTTTCATTAAATATCAAATATTTAGCTATGAAACATAATTTAATATGAAAAAAATTGGAGAAAATACGATTTTTTTTTTATTTTTTTTTAAGTTCTACATGACATTTTAATGGTCAATGTCATAATACCGTTTGCTTTTACTGCAATAAAATACACATTTGTATTCAGTAAAGTCTCACGTGTAAGACAGTACCCCCTATGTACAGGTCTTATGGCATTTTGGGAAGTTACAGGGTCAAATATAGCATGTTACATTTGAAATTGAAATTCGCCAGATTGGTTAGGTTGCCTTTGAGACTGTATAGTAGCCCAAGAATGACATTTACACCCATAATGGCATACCATTTGCAATAGTAGACAACCCAAGGTATTGCAAATGGGGTATGTCCAGTCTTTTTTAGTAGCCATTTGGTCACAAACACTGGCCAAAGTTAGCGTTAGTATTTGTGTGTAAAAAATGGAAAAAACGAAGTCTCCCGAGTAGAACAGTAACCCCCATGTACAGGTTTTATGGTGTCTTGGAAAGTTATAGGGTTAAATATAGTGCTAGCAAATTAAATTCCCTTTACTTTTGGCATGGGTTGTCAGGCAGGTCCCGCTAATTGTAATTAATTAAGATACCTAATTATGTAAAAATATTAAATATATATGTAGAATTAATATATGTGTGTGTGTGTGTGTGTATATATCTATATAATTTTTTTAAATATTTGTGTGTGTGTGTGTGTGTGTGTGTAGATATATATTATTTCGTTCTACGTGTATTTTGATATATATATATATATATATATAAATATCACAATAAAGTTAGAACGAAATAACACACATCTATATATTTTTAATTTTATTTTTTAACGTATTTACATATTTATTTTTTATATTATATATAAATATATATAACAATAATTATATATTTAATCAGTATCAGTCTACGTGTAATTTGAGATAGAGAGAGAGAGAGAGAGAGATATATATATATATATATATATATATATATATATATATATATATATATATATATATATATATATATATATATATATATAGTAAAATACACCTAGACAGTGTGTGTGTGTGTATATGTGTGTATATATATATATATATATATAATATGATCTAAGTATATATTATTTTTTTTTACACTTTTTAATTTATTTAATTTTATTTTCAGCCAGCAGGGGGGCCACCTGTCATTACAGGCAGCCCCCCTGCTGGCAATGCAGGAGGCAGCTCCCCCCGCCATGTGATTGTGGGGTCCTCGCAAGGACCCCACTCTCACATGGCCGGGGGGCTTCCAGGACGTCGGACGTGCCGCAGGGGGGCTCCCTGGGAGTCCCCCCAACCGGGATCGCCGGCGACCGGGTAAGTAGGAAAAGACCGGAGGGCGTACTATTACGCCCCGCGTCGTTTAGAGCCGCCTAGAATAGGGCGTAATAGTACGCCCTCCGGTCTTAAGGGAGTTAGTGTTAATATTTGTTTGTGTGTGAATGCAAAAAACTAATTTGAAAGCCAATTTTGTCCAGTGTTTGTGACTACTAAAAAAGACTGGATATAGCCCATTTGCAATACCTTGGGTTGTCTCTGATTGCAAATGGTATGCCATCATGGGGGTATTTTCATTCCTGGGCTGCCATACGGTCTCAAAGGCAACGTAACCAATCTGGCGAATTTCAATGTGAAAAAACTGAAGCGCAAGCCTTATATTTGACTCTGTAACTTTTGAAAACACCATAAAACCTGTACATGAGGGGTACTGTTATACTCGGGAGACTTCGCTGAACACAAATATTAGTGTTTCGAAACAGTAAAATGTATCACAACAATTATATTGCCGTGTAATTGCCATTTGTGTGTGAAAAATATTTCATTTTCACTGACGATGTCGTTGTAATACATTTTCCTGTTTTGAAACACTGATATGTGTTCAGCAAAGTCTTCCGAGTAAAACAGTACCCCCATGTACAAATTTTTTATGGTGTCTTGGAAAGTTACAGGGTTAAATATAGTGCTAGCAAATTAAATTCCCTGGACTTTTGACCTGGGTTGTCAGGCAGGTCCTGCAAATTGTAATTAATAAAACTACATAAATAGAAGTATTTATATGTTAAAGGGCCATTTGGCCTGAATTGTGGGAGGAGTTATGGCCCCTATTTAAACCCTACAGCCCCCCACTCACCTTTGTGGTTCAAGCGGTTTGTATTCTCCATAGCAACCAGCACTTCTGGTCCGTAGTTCCCGCCAAAATTCTAGCCTCCAGCAGCAGTTTGTTGCCAGCAGTTTTCCTGCCTTTGACCTTTCCACATAAGCATAACGTGGTAAATGGCGTTTGGCTATTTCCCACGTCCGGGCCTAAAAATGCGGTGATAGGCTCCTTTCATAATACCTGTTCGTGCATATTCATCCGTTCATGTGCTTCTGCGGTTCGTGCGGCTAAACAGCCGACCGCAGAGCACATTCACCTTTTTATTCTTTCGTATGGCTAACTGCCCAACGCACAACATATTTACGTTCGTCTATAAATTCACACGGTTTTAAACAGCCGACCGAAATGTACATGGCTTTCGTGTGGTCCATTAACCAACTGCAGATATTTCTCTCTGCTTACCAGTCCTCTCAGTTCGTTCGTTTTTAGCCGAACGCAGTAGGCTTTAACCCCTTAAGGACCAAACTTCTGGAATAAAAGAGAACCATGACATGTCACACATGTCATGTGTCCTTAAAGGACCACTATAGTGCCAGGAAAACATACTCGTTTTCCTGGCACTATAGTGCCCTGAGGGTGCCCCCTCCTGCCCGGCTCTGGAAGGAGGAAAGGGGTAAAAACTTACCTTTTTCCAGCGCTGGGAGGGGAGCTCTCCTCCTCCGTTCCTCCCCGTCGGCTGAATACGCATGCGTGGCAAGAGCTGCACACACATTCAGCCAGTCGCATAGGAAAGCATTATCAATGCTTTCCTATGGACGCTTGCGTGCTCTCACTGTGATTTTCACAGTGAGAATCACGCAAGCGCCTCTAGCGGCTGTCAGTGAGACAGCCACTAGAGGCTTTGGGTGAAGGCTTAACCCATTCATAAACATAGCAGTTTCTCTGAAACTGCTATGTTTATAAAAGAATGGGTTAAGCCTAGCTGGACCTGGCACCCAGACCACTTCATTAAGCAGTGGTCCTTTAAGGGGTTTACATTTTTTTGTGTTAAATTTACCTATCTGTTACTAAGAGAATTGTTATGCCTTTCGTTCAAACGATACAACTCCTTTTCACTTTTCAGCCACCCCTGTTCAATTCTGTGTTCAGTATATTGCTCGTTAGTTTTATTACTGGTTATAAATATTAAATCTATCCCTTTATTTTACTTTGGCTATGTTCATGTAATTTTATGGGACACGTCCTTTTTTACACACTGTGGAATTGTCTTAAAGGCACAGTCAGATAATATTCACTTAATAGGTAAATTTCATACTAAATACACCACTCGGCACCATTAATTACTCACGCAGGAACTTAGTTTTACATTATATAAGTTTATTTCCTTTCCATATTCACAAGAATAGTTTTTCTGTGCAACTGAGGTCGCTCTGTTAACTACGTCTTTATCTTTGTTTTAGCATGCCATAGGTTAAGCTCTCACGGTTCCTTTTTCACCAGGCTCACTACAGACCATAAACTCGATTGCTAAATAACTGTTTTTATAATCCTTATACTGGTTCCAAACACTTAGCATACGTATGATTTATAGTCCCAACTACATATCCTTCAAGCATTCTCTAGGAAGTGTCATCCCAGTATCCTGTATTACAGTTTCAGGTAAGAAAGGTTTACCAGTTGCAGTTGTATTTGTCTTCCCCTGAGGCCTAATTCAGCCTCCACCCCCAAGCAGGGTTCTAAGCTTCTCATGGGCCACAGCAAAGTCCCTGCACTATAATTTCTACGTCAATCACCTCCTAAACCAACACCACTACTGCTACTACTAATTTTAACGGTACATTGATCGTTTTTCGTTTTTACATTTCATTACTTAGACCTGCGACAATACCGCAGTTTCACCAAGTTCTACGCCATCGACTACCAACAGCCTACCAGATATCCAGTTTTTCAGTACCAGATATTGTTAATCCTACTCACTACAATTATGTTTCTCCTAAAGGCCTCACTTCGCCTTCTTATCATTTAAATTCACAATTGTGGCTACTCAGGGGCTTGTCTCTAATAACGGACCAATGTTCAGGTCCCTCATATTACACCGGTTTTTACATTACAGTATCCTTGATACACACCTGTCCATACGTTCAACGTTTTTACACCAGGCATACCAGTGGCACGTCTATCTTACTCCTATGATACTATATATAAACTTCCTGTACCTTGTCCAAAGCAATAGGACTAAAACTCAAGGTTAGTATCTACATACGCTCAAGTATATCTTTCAAGGAGACAAGCCCCATCAGATTAGAGAACTGACATTTAGGGTTAGGCGCTGGCTTTAGCTACCCTAAGTAAATACACCAGTCCCGCGAGGTCTACTCCCCACCTCAACACGGAGGTTCAGCCTCACGGCCATATCCTCGTTGGCCACCTTGCTCGCTCTTCGTTAGGGCTTCTCAAATCAGCCACTCGTTTTGAATCTCTTACGGTCACAGAGAGGCCAACATTCTGCCACCACGTTCAAGTGGCCATGAATTCCCTCTGCCAAAATCATAGGTAGAGCCTCTCACCGCCACTTGGCACTAGCAGGGCCCCATCTATCACTTGGTTCTAGTTAAATTCTTCACGTCGGCACTAGTTAGCAGGCCAGTTCTCCGAAGGTCTCATTCACCCCTCCACAACACCCTACTTATTCAAATCATTATTCCTTTTTCAGAATGTCACAAGAATCCATCCCCATCAACGATCTGTTGTTGGATGAAATACACAGCACGCCAGTCAGGCCTGGGTCTCCAGAGGAATCCCTCACCCCTTCTACCCCCAAATCCCTGTGATATTGGACTATTCCAAAAATATCATCAGAGCTCAGACTCGGGTATCCCCTTTCCAGCCTCCGCTAGAAAGGCAGAATTATACAGGCTGCTGACGGCACAGGCCAACAACCACAGGCCCGCACTAGTTTGCAAGGGCCATCTATGAACACCTCAGATTCTACTCAGGACACCCTGACTGCTATTTTGACCAACCTCCAAACAATGAACAACAGGCTGCTGAAAGTGGAATCGGCCATAGCCACCCCAGGTGACTTGACAGGCCCCTCAGGTCCCCCCTGGTTGTCTTGACTGTTCAGACTGGCATACCCCTCCTCCACGAGCCACTATCCCTACCCTATATGTCTCACCGGCTCAATCTGTCCCAGCTTCCATAAAGAAGGAAATTCTGGATGGAAAGGATGTTAATCTAGTGTCATTACTCATAGCCTCTCAAGACATCCTAGAGAATAGAGCTTATAATTACGGGTACATTCCAGTGGTCTTAAAAGCCAGAGATCCACGACTTAACAAGAAACTTTCCATCCCAAAGTTATTGGCATTTATCGTGACGTTATCTGCACGCTGTACCCACATAGGAGGGAAGAGCTTGACTTGCACAAGGTAGTTGACTTAGGCATAGTCAAGTACGGAGGGTCCTCATTCTATGACTATCATAAGTCGGTGTTGACCAAGGCAGCTACTCATCTGGCACAGTTCAACATAAGATTTGACTGGTGCCAGATGGACACAGAACTGTTCTGCCGTCACTTTGCCGGTTTGAGGCCCCCGTCCTGTGCTGCCTGTAGTTCCACTTCACCGACTTGTGCCCTTGTGCGGCAGATCCTTCCACATCTTACCACTCCATCACCTCACACACAAGACAAGAAGGCGGCAGAGAGACAAGCTGGACAGAACCATTTCATTCCTGGGCAAGGCGCAGGTGTGCAATAATTTTAATGCCGGGGCATGCAGGTTGTTACACATCTGCTTCAGAGCACACACCAAGACTATGTGCCCGGCCCGACTGTCACCTAAGAAATGAGGTTAAAGTTGACATCCCTACTTACTACCTGCGTTCACACAAAGCTAGGCATCTGGTAGATTATGTGGTGACTTGTTTCTCACAGGGGTTTCACACGGGCCTCATTGCCATCCCAACAGGTTCACTCGAATGCCTAACCTATTATCAGCATCCAATGACCCGCTTACGGTGGACCACCTTCTGTCCCATGAAACCAATGCTGGTTTCATGTTCGGCCCTTTCTTCACCATACTCATCATGGCGTACCAGCCTCATCGAAATAGCCATTCACTAACACTCTAATAAAAAAAAAACTTTGATCATTGACCTCTCTGCACCTCATTCTTCCTCCATTCCCAGCATCAGCTCTCTCATACCCGCTGAGGAGTTGTCAATGTAGTACGCCAAAATTGACGACGCTATGCAAGCTATTATCACAGCAAGCAGTAAGGCATGGTTAAGCAAGACCGATATTACCAACACCTTTAAACTGCTACCCATTCACTCTTCGCTATGGCACTTGCACAGTGTTAAATGGAGGGACCAGTATTTTTCTCTACCCGGCTCACTTCCGGGTCTAGGCGCAGCCCCAAGCTCTTTTGACATTTTTGCAGAGACTCTCTGCTGGCTGCTCCTAATCATAGTCAGGTGTCCGTCCTCTATCCACTACCTGGACAATCTTTTGTTGATTGAATCAGGCTCACAAACACCAAGCAGTATTCACAGCACCATAGCCACCTTTTTCACTACATTAGAGGTTCCTCTGTCACCAAGTAAATGCTTGGTCCCTCTCCCAAGCTCGTTTTCTTGGGCATAGTCTTAGACCCCACAACGGTCCAAGCCAGCTTATCTCCAGAGAAATTGACTCACATCATAGACGAAATCGGCCTGTTCCTGCGGAGTGTTACATGCACAAGGAAGGGACTCCAGTCCTTGTTGGAGTCCCTTGGCTTCACCTTGTGTATCATTCCGCAGAGTAGATCTTTTTGTCTCTGGGCTACTTCATTTGCTCCATGGGGTGCCCGACTCCTGCCCAATCATACTGGACAGTCCTGCCAGGGCAGATCTACACTAGCGGAGTAGACTCTTAGCCGAATGGAACAGGGTCTTTTTGTTCATTCCTCCACTATCAAAAGCTCTCACCCACAATCTACACAGCAGCAGCACACCCAGGGTTCGCAGCTATTTTCGGCAACCACTGGTTTAGGGATAACTGGCCCACTGAGACGGATGCCTTGCAGGCCTTTAGAGAAACTTTTTCATCTTGTTCAAGATATACCCCATCGTGGCGGCCACCCATACATGGGGTCTTCTCTGGACCAGCAAGGCAGATAAAATGCTACTCAGACAATTCTGCAGCATGTGAAATCATTAACAAGGGGCAGTCATCCTCCTTAACTATTATGAGGCTGATTCGCAAGCTGACTTGGCTGGCAGAAAACTCTCAGTTCCTCCTAGACTGCATACACATGCCTGGTGTCCATAACTCAGCTGCTGACGCTCTTCCACGCTCTCAATTTCAGGTCTTCTTCCAGGCACTCCCTACGGCCCATCACCTACCTTCCAGGATTCCACCTCTCCATGAGCTAATCCTGGATTAAACGGGCTATTACACCACGCACAGGCACTCGCGCACCACGCACTTTCATCCAACACACTATCACTTATGCTAGGGCACTGACTATTTTTAATACATTCACTGCAGAGTTTTACTTACAAGGAGATTTTCCATTAAAACCATGGTGGCTTTTCCCTCCTTCTGTCACCTACACCTTAAATTATCACACAATAAAAACTTACCTTACCGGGGTACAACACCGCGTCCTCACAACCTTTCCTAATCACGCACGTATTTATAAGGTTACGGTTCCCCCTGGCACTACCAGATTACCAATAGATAGTCCTATATTTAGGCTATTTAGTGACCTATTGGACAAATCCCCATTTGAGTGTAACACAAATCTGGTCATTAAAGCCGCCATCTTTATGGCTTTCTACGGTTTACTCCGATATAGGGAGTTCAGTCATACGTCAAGTAGATACAGCATTATGCCTTAAACTTTCTCACCGAAAGAAAATAGAAGATAACTACATTCTTTCATTACCTTATACTAAAACCTATCACACCACTTAACCCAACTATCATTCCCCTCTTCCCTACCGAGAAGGTTTGGTGCCCAGTTAAAATACTTGACATACTCGTGTTGTCTCACCAGACGTACTCACCTGACTCCACTATTACTACTCCAAGGGCACCCACTCACCACAGCTAAATTTATTTCTCACGTCAGAACCCTACTATCAAGGTTGGGCTACAACCCGGCTTCCTTCTCTGGTCACTCCTTTCGTATAGGCACAGCATCTCCAACTTCAAGCTCTAACACTCCAGTCCACATCATTAAGAGACTGGGCCCCTGGAAATCCTCAATTTATAATACTTGTATACCTCGACCAGAGAGGGAGCTCCGACAAGCCTTCAGAAATCTTGCTTTGTAACTTGCAATAAAGTGCGTTTACTCTGAAACCTCATTTTGCCCTCTTTTTACTACAGGCCTTCTCGTACGTTGGTTTCGGCACACGTAAACCAACTTTGCATCTCCTTCTTTCCATTACATATTAGAAATTCCGAGCACAAATATATAAATATATATTTTGTTCTACATGTATTTTGATATCAATATATATTTTAAGATACAGTTAATATGAATTTACACATATATTTAGTTTTTATTTTAACGTATTTATTTTATATATAAATATATATTTTTAATCAATATCATTCTGTGTATTTTGATATTAATATATAATAATTATATGCATATATTAATATTAAAATACACTTAGACAGTGTATGTGTATTTTTGTGTGTGCGTATATCTATATATCATAGCAATGGCAGCAGGGGGAGTGCCTGTAATAACAGGCACTCCCCCTGCTGCCTGGAAAAAAAAAGTTTAAAACACTTTAAAATGAAATAATATATATGATCTAAGTATATATAAACCATCACATGCCTTTCCGATAACGTAAGGAAATTCTTCCTTGGAGCACACAAGATACTCATAAGGAGAATCACCTAGTTAGCAGCGTCACAACTCCTATTTGCTATGAGTACACGTACTTGGCCGGGGAAATATCGCAACGGACACTCTCTCATTCCAACTTTTAGGCATTTTTGAGGCAACACCCCACGGCAGCCAGTACACCCGAGATAACCCCTGCTTTTTAAGACTATTAACCGTCTGAACCAACTAATGCAACATGCCCAAACATTGGCAAAACTGCTTTGTCAGACAATACCTGAAGAATTTACGACAGAGCAATGACCATTTCAACAGGGTCACGGCAGAGCACCACATCCATGGCACTTTCTCCATCGACACGATAGCAACGTTCAATGCCCACTGCTATTTATGCCAGCAAATGGCACACGACACAAATTATATTTGACGGGAGTACAGCACTACTTGCTCAGCTCATTCCCCAGCCACAGACAGTTCATGTCATCCTACCCGCATTCTCGAAGATTGACCGCGAGCGGACGACTAATCTAATGATAGGCGGACAGGAATTAATGCACTTCTAGACACCAACCCATCTGAACCCCTTACGACCATTTTAATCTAGTGGCCATGCATGTAACATGCTATGGGTTCCTACCCCCTAATGAACAACGATTGGAAGACTATCCGGTACTCCGGTTTACTTTGGCATAATGGACCTACACAAGCAAGGAGTCCGTTAAAACTACGACGTTCCGACACATATTAGATGGGCCCCCCGATAGAGATCCCATGCTGTCCAGCCCACGACAAATGGGGTCCGGTGGTAGTGTTTGGATACTTTTGCCTCATTCATATAGAGCAACAGAGCTATTCACACTACACGACAAACCACTCACTACTGCTAAATTTGTGTACTAGGCGAGGACCCTAGCTACTAGATTAGTCTATGACCCATGAACCATCACAGGTCACTCCCTTAAGATTGGTGCCGCTTCCAGGTGGAATGTGCCAGCACACATAAGCAAGGTTGGTGGAAATCAGCAGCTTACAGCAGTTAAAATACTTGAGTACATTTCACAATCTGAGAGAGAATTCAGGAAAGCTTTTATAGAAGTAACTGATATCCGCATTAAAGTGTAGCGATTTATTTCAGGCCTAACCGATCGTCGGTATAGGCACACCAGAACCGACTCCCATGCATGGCCAACTGCGTTATGTACGGCATATTGTCCCCCCGACTACAAATGTTAAGGCAGAGCCTGAAGTTGTGGGAGCGGGTTTACCCGGCCTCTTTATACCCAGACTTACCTCTATTCAGGGCCGAAACCGATGCAGACCACCCACCACACCCTTTAACAAACACTTCCTTGGTGGGCCCTCATTTATTTCAGGCCTACCCGATCGTCGGTTTAGGCACACCACAACCGACTCTCATACATAGCTAATGGCATTATGTACGGCTATTGTCCCCGACTACAAATAAATGTGTGTGTATTTTAATTCTAAGTGTGTTAATATATATTAAAAAAATACACTTGGTATGACATATATATATATATATATATATATATATACATATACACATATATTTTATATATAAAATTTATTTTTTTATATACATTTCCAGCAGCAGGGATACTGCCTGACAGCACAAAAAAACTGCCTCCTAACTTCTTTGGCTGGCTTTTAGGTTCAAACAAATTTTTCAAGCCCTGCTTTAGAGCATGTACCAGTATTTGTGCCTGAGAGCAGAACAACCTCTTGAGCCTCCTCTTTCCTGTAGCCTTCTATACTAAGAATTGATTTACAGATAAAGAGAAAAAGTACATGTGCAGTGTTTGTTGGAAATTATTAGGGCAAAGTGGAGCAGTCTCCATTAAAACACAATGTGCTGCCAGTTGCTCACTTTTTATACTAATCCTCAGATTACACATAACACTTATTCAAAAATCCATATAATGGCTAGAGATTCAATATCTGTCATTTAAATTGAAATCACTCTTGTTTCTCTATATGTAGCCCTAATTACCTCTCCTGCCAATGATTCTCGTAGCATCCATGAAATAAATGTTTATGTTTTGTTAAGGCCAATGTAGCAAAACTGGAAGCATGCTAACTTGGAGAAAGGCTATAGGACGTTCCTTGCCAGCCCATACAAAGTCTGGACCTTGCAGGGGTTAAATCCCTGTTCACACCAGGGAGCCACTGTTGGCAAAGGATACCTCGAATACCCTCTTTTTTTTTTTTTTGCACGGGCCATTTATGGTGGTCTCAGACTTTTTGATGAGCTGCATTGGCAGCTCTGTAAGTAGGAGTTTAAGAATTGTATTTTTGTCGTTGATAATAAAGCTTTTTTGACTTTTAAAGGAACACTGTAGTCACCAGAACCACTACAGCTTAATGTAAAGACTTTTTAATGTAAACACTGGCTATCTAAGATTCCCTGAATAATAATAATAATAATAATAATAATAATAATAATAATAATAATAAAAAAAATAAATATATATATACATACATACATACATACATACATACATACATACATAAAATACAACCTCAAAGCAACAACACATAACATATTACATCGTGCCATGATTTATGTAACAAAAATTAGGGATCGATTGATATTGATCGACTGATCTGTGAACTTTCAGGCCGATAGCCGATAACTTGCCGATATTCTGTGCATTTACCATTTTGAAAAATTAAACTTTCTAAAGGTAAATGCACAAAATATACATTCCACATGCAGTGGATGCAGTGTGTTTAGACAGGGGAGCGGTATGTATTTGTGAAGTGTGGGGAGGAAGGATATTTTTAACCTCCCTTATGTACTGTGACAAGCTCCTGTACTCCAACTGAGTAGGTCCGCTTCCTAGATGCCACAGGGGACTCTGACTCAGCCGCTAAAGCTTGACTTGGATCACTCCGGAACTCTTTCACTTGACCAGCTGCAGCTCCCCTTTTCCAGGCAGGTATTGTCCTTTCTGCCTTTGCCTCTTCAGCTTTCCTTCTAGGCAGGTATTGTCCCATCTGTCCATTCCTCTGCAGCTTCACCTTCTCAAGCAGGTAAAAACAGCACTGTTTATAGTAATTGCTCCTGTATTTATAAAGACACTCTCAGGCCTAGCTCTCTTTTTTTTTTTAAAAAGAGAAAATAAAAAAAAATTCTATTACATGCTATAGATGAAAACCAGACTATAGACCAAGACAGGAACAGCAGAGAGACAATTTTAAATTAGTGAGATAGATACCACGGTCCTCAGGGAAAAAAAAAAGAGAAGAGGAAAACAAAACAAATAACTTTCAAATTGTTCCTGTCTGGCATGAAAGATTCTCATACAACTAGGTGTAGAGTATTAACCCCTTAGTGACCAGACAGTTTTTTACATTCGTGCAGTGTTTGTGTTTAGCTGTAATTTGCATCTTAATTACTGTACTTACACATTATATACGGTTTGTCTCACCATTAAATTCTTTCTGAAGATACCATTATTTTCATCATATCATATATAATTTACTATAAATTTTTTTAATAAAATATGATGAAAAAAATTTAAAAACCCACACTTTTTCTAACTTTGACCCCCAAAATCTGTTGTGCATCTACAACCGCCAAAAAACACCTGTGCTAAATAGTTTATAAATTTTGTCCTGAGTTTAGAAATGCTAAGTGTTAACATGTACAAGTAAGGCTTTTGACACTGTTGCACATAGAAAGCTTATCAATAAACTGCAATCTTTAAGTTTGGATTCCAATATTGTTGAATTGGTAAGGCAGTGGCTGAGTGACAGGCAACAGAGGGTTGTAGTCAATGGAGTATATTCGAAGCATGGGCTTGTCATCCGTGGGGTACCTCAGGGATCTGTACTTGGACCCATTCTCTTTAATATTTTTATTAGTGATATTGCAGAAGGTCTTGATGGTAAGGTATGTCTTTTTGCTGATGATACTAAGATATGTAACAGAGTTGATGTTCAAGGAGGGATAAGCCAAATGGCAAATGATTTAGGTAAACTAGAAAAATGGTCAGAATTGTGGCAACTGACATTTAATGCGGATAAGTGCAAGATAATGCATCTTGGACGTAAAAACCCAAGGGCAGAGTACAGAATATTTGCTAGAGTCCTAACCTCAACATATGAGGAAAGGGATTTAGGGGTGATTATTTCTGATGACTTAAAGGTAGGCAGACAATGTAATAGAGCAGCAGGAAATGCTAGCAGAATGCTTGGTTGTATAGGAAGAGGTGTTAGCAGTAGAAAGAGGGAAGTGCTCATGCCATTGTACAGAACACTGGTGAGACCAGGAGATTTGCACGCAGTACTGGAGACCGTATCTCCAGAAGGATATACTTTGTGGAGAGTTCTGAGAAGGGCTAATAAACTGGTTCATGGATTGCAGGATAAAACTTACATAGAAAGGTTAAAGGACTTGTTTTCCTGGCACTATAGTGCCTTGAGGGTGCCCCCACCCTCAGGGTCCCACTCCCGTGGCGCTGAAGGGGGAGGAAGGGGCTAATCCCTTATCTTTTCTCCGGCGCTGGGACTCTCCTCCCTCTTCTGACGTCACCGGCTGAATGTGCAGGCGCGGCAAGAGCCGCGCATTCATTCCGTCCATAGGAAAGCATTCTCAATGTTTTCTTATGGGTGCTGGCATCTTTTCACTGTGAAAATCACAGTGCGAAGCGCCTCTAGCGGCTGTCAGTGAGACGCCACTAGAGGCTGGATTAACCCTAAAGTAAACATAGCAGTTTCTCTGAAACTGCTATGTTTACAGCAAAAAGGGTTAAACATAGATGGACCTGGCAACCAGACTACTTCATTAAGCTGAAGTGGTCTGGGTGCCTATAGTGGTCCTTTCACATGTATAGCTTGGAGGAAATAAGGGACAGGGGGAATATGATAAAAACATTTTAAATGCATAAGGGGAATCAACACAGTAAAGGAGGAGAATATATTTTAAAAGAAGAAAAACTACCACAACAAGAGGACACAGTCATAAATTAGAGGGGCAAAGGTTTAAAAATATCAGGAATTATTACTTTACTGAGAAAGTAGTGGATGCATGGAGTAGCCTTCAAGCTGAAGTGGTAGAGGTTAACACAGTAAAGGAGTTTAAACATGCATGGGATAGGCAAAAGGCAATTCCTAACTATAAGAAAAGTCCAGGGACTAATGAAAGTATTAAGAAAATTGGGCAGACTAGATGGGCCAAATGGTTCTTATCTGCCATCACATTCTATGTTTATGTTCTTAGCTTTTTTTGGAAAGTTATAAGGCTATAAGTACAAGTAGCACTTTGCTATTTCCAAACCATTTTTTTTTTCCTCTCAAAATTAACGCAAGTTGCATTGTAACACGGATATCTCAGGAGTCCCTGAATAACCCTTAACATATTTTTTTAAAGACTCATATTTTTACTCTTTTCATGCAACCATTTTACCACCAATCTATGCCAAATGTAAAAAATAAAATAATTGATTTTTTTTTTTTTTGGACACGCACAGCAATTTAGGAATACATGTACGGCGAACTTTAAGGGTTACTGCCAGAGAACACCTTAATATGTGTTCCGAAACATCTCCTAAGTACAGTGTTATCCCGGCCATGTATAGGTATGTCGGGTTCTTTGGGGGCTAAAAGACCTTATTGTGCTTTCCGGTTTTCCAACTTGGGATTTTCTCAGCTGGTCTTCATGCACACATGTCCTATTTGGGACATTTTTGAAGCCGGCCACTGTAATTTACCCCCTTCAAACCATATATTTTTTTAAAAGTAGACACCCTAAGGTATTTTAATGGTGGTATTTTAACACTTTCCATGCACTAATTCTACCACCAGTCTTTGTCAAAATTTTGGCTAGTCATTTTTTTTTTTCTCTCACATTGTACTTTAGGCATGAGTTCTCAGTTCCTGTTATGTGTTACTGACCAAGAACACCCCAATATGTGTTCAGCAACATCTTCCGAGTACAACAGTGCCTCCAATTTACTGTTTTTTTTTTTTGTTGTTGCAAACTTACAGGGGTCAAATGTAGGGCTTTTCCATTTTGCACATTGAAATTTGCCAGATTGTTTTGTTGGGCCTATGTTGCCTTTGAGACCTTATAGCAGCCCAGGATTGAAAATTAACCCCATCATGGCAAATGATGTGTAAAAGTAGACAACCCACGATATTCAAAATGGGGTATGTCCAGTCATTTTTAGTAGCCACTTAGTCACAAACTCTGGCCAAAATTAGCGTTCAATTTAGTTTTTTTGCATTTTTCACATACAAACAAATATGAGCGCTAACTTTGGCCAGTGTTTTTGACTAAGTGGCTACTAAAAAAGTCTGGACATACCCCATTTGTAATACCTTGGGCTGTCTACTTTTGCAAATGGTATGCCATCACATGGGTAATTTTCATTCCTGGGCTACCATATGGGTCGCAAAGGTAACATAACCAATCTTGGAAATTTCAATGTGTATATACTGAAAAATGTAACCTGCTATATTTAAAGGATCACTATTGGGTCAGGAACACAAACATGTATCCCTATAGTATTAAAACCACCATCTAGCACCCCTGGGCCCCTCATGCCTCCATAAATATTGCAAAATCTTACTCTATTCAAGCCAGAAGCTGTAGATCTGCATGCTGTTTGCCTAAAAAAAAAAGCAGTCTGCTGACATCAGAAGTGGTGGCCTGTTCCAATCACAATGCTTCCCCATATGATTGGCTGAGACTGACAAAGAAGCATATCAGGGGCAGAGCCAGCAAAATTCAAACACAGACCTGGCCAATCAGCATCTCCTCATAGAGATTAATTGAATCAATGAATCTCTATGAGGAAAGTTCAGTGTCTGCATGCAGAGGGAGGAGATACTGAATGTTTGGATGCATTTTAGGCAGCCATGACCCAGGAAGGATCTCTAACAGCTATCTGAGGAGTGGCCAGTGAAGTTTTCACTAGGCTGTAATGTAAACACTGCTTTTTCTCTGAAAAGGCAGTGTTTATAGCAAAAAGCCTGAAGGTAATGATTTTACACACCAGAACAAATTCAATAAGCTGTAGTTGTTCTGGTGGCTGTAGTGTCCCTTTAAACCTGTAACTTTCAAAAACTCCATAAAACCTGTACATGGGGGGCTACTGTTTTGCTCGAAAGACATCACTAAATACAAATTTGTGTACTTTATTGCAGTAAGCGCTAACAGTATTATGACATTCACTGTTAAAATGCCATGCAGAACAAAAAAAAATAACAATGTCCTAATTTCTCACATTTATTTATATTAAATTATTTCATATATAAATATTGGATGTGACATGAAAGCCCTATTTCTCCTGACCAAAATCATATATAATAAGTGTGGGTGCATTTAATATGAAAGAGGTGAATAATAGTTGGACATACAGCGCAAATTTCAGGTTTTGTTTATATTTTGATCACAACTTGTACAATTGGCTCAGTCCTTAACTTAAGGACAGCGGGCATGCTATGCCATCCTTGGGGACCTGGTTCTAAATGCTGGCGGGCGGCATATCAAGTCCTAGTCTTCCTATGTACTTACCAGCTCGTTGGCGATCGCGGTAGGGGGACTTACCTGGCATCTCAGAGAGTCCGCCTGCTGCTGTTTCGGCCCTCGCATGGACCGCATAGTCGTCCACAGCATTGCCAGCAGGGGGACTGCCTGGAATGTTAACAAAAAAAGTTAACTCAGTTTATAATAAAACAATATATACTTAGATCACACACTGATATTGTTGTGATACGTTTTACTGTTTTGAAACCCTCGTATTTTATTTCAGTCCAGTCTTTTTTAGTAGCCACTTAGTCACAAACACTTGCCAAAATTGGCGTTCAAATTAGTTTTTTGCATTCACACACAAACAAATATTAACACTAACTTTGGCCAGTGTTTGTAACCAAGTAACTACTAAAAAGAGTGGACATACCCCATTTGCAATACCTTGGGTTGTCTACTATTGCAAATGGTGCGCCAACATGGGGGTAATTTTCATTCCTGGCTACCATACGGTGGAGAAATAGCAATATAATTTTTCAAATATATAACATCATTACAACATTCCAAACTATTGGAATACAAAGATATATCAATGCAACATATCTGTTTTTACAACCTCTTAATTTGTATATTGCTATTATGCCAACAATGTGTTTTTTGATTTAACCAACAGAGGGCCAAGCCTAAAAGAAATCCCTTTTTAAAACAAGGATATCCTAATCTTGCATTATTTAGCACTGTAGTTTCGATAAAGCCTTTATTCTTGTTAATTCATTTTTTTCTTTAATTTTTGCAGTTTACCAGGTATTCTGCATTGCTGGTTGGAGTAATATATGGGAAGAAAAGATATGGTAAGATAAATGTCCAGTTTTAAATTAAATTTAAAAAAAAATGTATATATGCATGAGGGCAGGTTGTATCAGGGGCACAGTGCGTAATATATATATAAATTTTTTTTTATTATTATAAATTTTTTAATACCCCTCTTCCCTGCTTACCTTTGCGTGGGAGGGGGGGACATTTCCTGCAACGCTCCAAGCTCGCGAGAGAAAAACCCGTCGGAGCTGCAAGTCCTCTCTTATCTCCTCTCTGGTCCTGCAGAGCCAGCAGGGGAGAGGGAGGCACATTTTTCCAATGCTATGATCAAAGTGTTGCTGGGCTGCCTGTTCGTGAATTGCCTGTCTTATTATGTGTTTCCCCATCTTTTCGTGTCTTCTGCCTGCTTCCTGTTCGGGAGCGCTTCCATGAAAAATTCATTTGTCTCCCGAACGGGGACCATCCCTGTAACGGACCGTTTTGCACACAAGAGGTAAAAACCGTTTAGTAGATCTTCCCCTTCCAGATGCACAGGCACAGATACTGCAGAACACCAATCCGCCGAACTGGAAACCATATGAATGCTGTAAACAGCCGAATAGGAAAAACCATACGAATAGGTTTACACTCCTAGCAGTCAAACTGGAACAGCATACAATAAACCCCCCCAAGAACGAGACAAAGCTCCGTGTTGAGGGTCAAGCAGTGAACTGCCTGGACTGGCACGTACAGCCTCTTTTATTCCTAATCCACAAACTTAGTACTGCCCACAGGGTTTTACATAACAACCAATAACACACGTACATTACAGAAAGACACTCCCACACAAAATCCTCTGGCTGTGATATGATTACTGAACACAATGGTTAATCTAATTATCACAGCCAGAGAAATAGTTTTTCCACATTATTCATAACTTGAAAAGTATGCATCACATTCACATAAAACTTACATTTTCAGAATCAGCATACTCCAAATACAAACATAAATCATACATATTGGTCCAGTGGTTCAAAAGTTAAGGAAAAGTCCTATTTGACCAAATGCAGCATGGCTTTTCTGCCCAAAACCAGTTCCACAGAATCTTCTATCCTGGAGATAATTGGGGAAGTAATCCAATTATCTCCAGGAAAGAGGCAAAACTCCATTAGCCACATGGCAGCAAAAGACAATAAAACACATAAAAACATATAACTGTGCAGCCATTGCACAAAACAGGTACATTCAACATATCCCCAGATAGCTCACATCTGAGCGCACATTATTACTGAATGGCGCTCAGAGCACACATGTACAGTTCAATTGCCATGGAGCCAAAGTCTTTCCCATAGTCTTTCATTATACGAATGGGCTCCATGGCATAGCTATCTGGGGTATCACGGCTCAAACAGGGCAAGCACCAAATGACCCGGCTTTCTTGTCTTCGCAGGGGAAATTAAAGCGTTTCAACATGGGGCCATAGTCTAAAGGCAGCAGGCGAGCAACCAGGCTTCTCCAATGCAATGTGGCGAGATTGGTCTCGTCACAACCCCAATATCCCATTTAGAATTTTAGTTTGTAACATTCACACCTCGCAACATGGTGAGCACTCTGATGGCTGGCGGCCATTCATGCAGACGAATGCCAGCAAGTGGGAGCGTTCGTGGATTCTGGATTTCCTTCCTAGTGCCACATTAGAACGCTCACACTAATTATTCAGAACATTCGCGCTTGCAACATAGGTGTGAAGTAATTAATGAGTGCTTCCCTGGGTGGCCCCTATGTCATACGGACGAATGCCGTCCTGGGGGAACATTCGTACCCCGAAAGGAGACGCTTTCCACAGAGACCTTGCGAGAGGAGCCTGGTCGAGTCAGGTACCACTGCGAGGGTCCCTGAGATTGGTGTAAGCACTGGTGGGCTTTGCGGTGCCCGCTGGTACAAAGAGACCACATCTTTTTTACCGCGGACGGGCTCTCTGTGCCTGGGAGACAAAGGGACGGTCTTTTTCCCGCACTTGGTTTCCCAGGTACAGAGGCTCATGGGATGAAGACCCCCTGTCCCTGGTTGTGGGAAACCCTGTGTTTGGGTCACGGGCTTTTGGAGACAAAGGGACAAAGCCCTTTTCTCGTGCTAGGATCCCTGGGAGAGGAAATTGTTTGCTGTGTTACACCCCTTGCATGGGGTTATACTTAAAAGCCGTGTGTGGCCAGTAAAGTGGTTGTTGTACCTCCAGAACTGTGTGTCGTCCAGTTACTGTGGGGGAAAAGGGTATCTTGAAATCCTAAATGATTCCTGTTCAGCTGAAGGAAGAGAAATAGCGGAGGTAACAGGACGAGTTACCAAGTGATCCGCTACACATAGCACCAGGAAATATCTCGCGGCTCCCCTGTGTGCCCGGCGCCTGCGGCACACTGTTTGGGAACCGCTGGGTTACACTGTAGCAATACCTCCAATGTAGAACAGAACCATTGGCAGTCACGTACCCTCTTTATTTTTTGCCCTGAATTCTGAACCAGCAGCTTTTCTCATTAGCCATGCCAAATCATATCAGAAATGCTTCCTTATCAGAGTATTTACAGCTGCTTTTAATTAACTACCAAGCAGCATATTGATTTAAAAGCAAATCTAAATTGTCAAGTTGTCTCAATGCCTGGAATGTCCATATAAATCTAAAGAATAGTAGGGGGAAGAACATAGGACCAAATATAATACTTTTCTGGTCCTTGGCCATTTTGTTTAAAAGAACACTCTAAACCCCCACCCCCTTAAATATATAGACTTACGATCGGTCCACAACATTTTGGTGACTCTGCAGCTATTTTTCCTTATTTACCACAGGGAATAATTGTGTTCTAGCACACATCCGCATCTCCTTATAGAGTTGTATTAGCTCAGTGCATATATATGGGGAGCGTTCAGGATCTTCATGCAGTATGTGAAGATGTCGAATGTTGGTCCTACAAATACTGCAGGGGTAGGCAACCTTTGGCACTACAGATATTGTGGACTACATATACCATATTCTGTTACAGCCATAATGCTAGCAAAGATGCAGTTTCCAACATATGCATCTAGTGGCTGAGTGATGGCCACTAGAGGGGAAGGCAGCCTTCAGGACTCCAAATGTTGTTTACTACATCTCTCCTGATACTGTGCCAGTATTATGGCTTTAAGAGCTTTATGGGAGATGCACGCCACTGTGTTGTCTAAATACCTCAATAAGATCATCCATCCCTATCATAATTTTTTTTTTTTTTTTGGCCCAATCCAATGCTTCTCAATTAAAGCTATTCGGACATACTGGGCATGCTCAGCTACGAGCATTACTGAAATGCCAAATGTGAAGGCTATCAATTATTGAAAGTCTCCACAAAGAAGAGCCATCCTTTGTGACAAATCTAGGTACTACAGTTTTGCATTTAACAGACTGCAGGTTCAGGGTCTTTAAAGGACCACTATAGTGCCAGGAAAACATACTCGTTTTCCTGGCACTATAGTGCTCTGAGGGTGCCCCCACCCTCAGGGACCCCCTCCCGCCCGGCTCTGGAAGGGGGAATGGGGTAAAAACTTACCTTTTTCCAGCGCTGGGCGGGGAGCTCTCTGCCTCCTCTCCTCCTCCGATCATCCTCCTGGGCTGAATGCGCACGCTCGGCAAGAGCTGCGCACGCATTCAGCCCGTCGCATAGGAAAGCATTTATAATGCTTCCTTATGGACGCTTGCGTGCTCTCACTGTGAAAATCACAGTGAGAAGCACGCAAGCGCCTCTAGTGGCTGTCAATGAGACAGCCACTAGAGGGAATAGGGGGAAGGCTTAACCCATTAATAAACATAGCAGTTTCTCTGAAACTGCTATGTTTATAAAAGAATGGGTTAACCCTAGAAGGACCTGGCACCCAGACCACTTCATTAAGCTGAAGTGGTCTGGGTGCCTAGAGTGGTCCTTTAAGCACCAAAACCATTACACCTTAATAGGAGTCACAGTTTTGGAGCAGAGTTTCCATTGCATATTCAGTTGGAAGCACTGCCCACATACAAAAGAATAGATAAAATTGGTGTTGAGTAGGTTTACATCCAGTGAAAACATCATTGAATTGAATTTTCCGTTGTCTTTTTTTCATTGGGTTTTATATGTAAAACCAACTTAGAAAAGCTGCAGATTTATTGTATGAGGCTTTTGCAAGCCATCCCCTTCTAACTAAGCCCAGACTTTGCCTGTCGAAGTCTTGAATGTGAAGTCTTTGCAAAGCAGGTGCTCGGGACAAATACCTGCCTCCACTGAGCTAAACAACCAGGAAGTAACATGAGCAGTTGTCTGACAGCTGGGTATGTAACAAGATTTCAATTTCAGTTGAAATTTGTGCTTTTTGTACATACTACAATGCACATAATACACTTTAGCAAGCTGACCTGATAAAAAGGTCTGTAATTTCCTCTTAAAATTACATGCCATGTTTTTATTGTCAGATAATTTGAAGCCTATTGCTGAAGAGGAAAGGCGGATAGAAGCTGAAGAGAAAATTAAGCGTGATGAAGCGGAACGAATTGCTAAGGAGTTAGCAGCAGGTAACTATTTAGTCTCATTTAAAGGGATACTCGAAGCACACATAACTTATGTTCTTTGCATGGGTTGCAGTGCAAGAAGGATCCATGTCTCCTGCACACAATTGTTTTTAACTGCAGTAATATGAAGAAAAAAATAAAATATTATAAGCCCCATGCTCTGACTGAGAGATCAAAGAAGAAAGCAGATGCTTTCTAAAATATTTGCAAAACATTAAAGTTCCCCTCTGCACTAATGGGATCGTACACTGCTTACTATAAATGAACTTCAGCTTTGTGATTGCATTGAATAGCTCCAAACACAAAAATGTAAATGTAGCTGGTTTATTTATCACATATGAGCGAGTGGTGGTGAGAGCTTTATGTGATATGATCTACTTCTAGGCACAGGATACTTACATGATTTTGCTATTTCATGACAAAAAGTCATGATTTTATTAAAGACACAGAGGCGAGTATTGCTTAACCCTTTCTTTACTGTCCACCAATAGCAGCAAAGAATACAAACAGAAAAAATGTTAACCATAGTGATAAGCCACTCCCATACCAAGTCTCACTATAATAGTCAGCACCTCCCCACATATTTCCTCTTTCGTTGGAGATGCGACACAAAAATAGCAAAACAGGAACCGATGAATCAGTCCAACCACAGCCGAACAACCGTCCCGAAATCCAGCCGGACTCAAATCGGGAACCATAAACGAAGTGGGACCAATCCGTCGAAGAATAGAAACTGCAACAGTGAGCCCATCATCCAGCCAACGAATTGAAGCCTTGTGGGAAGTAGTGAGGGACCCCCATGGAATACAGAATCAACCTGTGAAAACATAAAAACAGGAGCCGAACTGTTAAATCGGTACTTAAACCAAAGTGCGCATGCCAAGACACTTCATATTGATAACTGAAGAACAAAGTGCCCATATAGCAAGAAAAAACCCACCAGACAAAACATACAACATAGTCAGGTCACATGAGCATAAACTAAAATAAATACAGAGCGCATCATACATACCTACCACACCCTGCAATCCCACATAAGAGAGAAAATCAACAGGGAGGGAGAATCAAATGAAATAAACGTAGAAGGGTGGGACAATACTCGCCTCCCTGTCTTTCCTAAAATCATGACTTTTCGTCATGAAATAGCAAAACCGACACAGAGGCTCATATTGCAAGTTTAAAGCTGATCAATAACAGAAGAAAAAGCGTGAGGGGCTGATCTAAAGTAAAATTCACTAAAAGTGGAATTGCGGGACCAGTCTGCCATCCTCATGTTGTCTTTTAGACGCGCCCCCGAAGCCACCATAGACTTGGCTAGTGCCCCCTGGGAGGAATGGGTGCTAAAGATGAATGTATCCACACATCACCCTAAATGTCACCCTGTCCGAAGTGAAAGACCTAGCATCATAGTCCAGGGCACGAACATCCAAAACCCATTTGCATGAAATGAGGCAAGAAAGTGAGACCAACTTGACCGACAATTGTCGTAAGGAGAGGCTGAGTTAGGAGACCAGAAAGTAAAGAGCGAAAAAAAAACTCAGGAGACGTCCCAAGTAGAAGAGTATCGGAGAGGGTGTCCCCGGCCCTATGGTCCAGAAGAAGGTCTGGATAGGATGGCAGCAGTCTGGGTACATCCATCGCCAGTTTCAGCAGCTGTGTGAACCATGATTGGGTCCCCCAGAATGGGGTCAACAAAATCAGGTTGGTCATTTGGCGGCGAACTTGGAGCAGGACCCAAGGGATCATGGCAAACGGAAGGCATAAGTAAGAAAGCCGGTCCAGTCTTGCGGAAAGGCGTCTACTGCCTCTGCGGCCGGATCCAGCCACCAGCTGTAGAACCATGGTAATTGGGTATTGAACCGGGACGCAAAGAGGTTGATGGCAAAAGGTCCCCAGAGAGACTCGATAGCGGAGAACACCCCTACGTCCAATCTTTAATCGCTGCTGTCAGACAGTGTGAACTCCAGTCCACGTGAATGTTGTGGAGTCCCGGGAGGTATCCCGTCTGGACAACCAGATCCCCGGCCAAGCAATAAGCCCAAAAGTTCTTCACCAAGCAGGCTTGAATTGCTGACTGCGTGCTCCCCGTGTGATTGACATAGTGGACCGCAAAGATGTTGTCCATGCGCAGCCGGACATTCCAAGCTGAGAGGTTGTGGATCCACCAGGTCAACTCATCCCAAGTCTGCGTCCAGAGAGACCAATGTCCGCAATGGATGCCCTGTTGAGGTGTGCAATCTTCAGGTGTTTTGAGGGCACAGTAATGGAGAGGGACTGGGAACACCGCCTGGACTGAAGATGCCAGTAGTCCAATGATCCGTGCCAGATGGCGTAGCGGATGGTCCGAATCTTGGACCATCCGCTTAAGGCTGAGTGATTCCGATTCGGAGTCTACGGTGAACCAGAGGAACTCCATGTGTTGCGAAGGGGATAGGCAGGATTTCTCCCAGTTGAGGAGGAAACCCAGACGAGAGAGGAGGTCCATCGGCCATTGCAGATGCCTCAGGAGGACCGAACGATCCTGTGCCATGATGAGGCTGTCGTCCAAGTAGACTGTCAGCCGAACTCCTCGTCTACGCAACCAAGCCATGGCTGGGCGCATCAATTTTGTGAAGCACCAAGGAGCCGACGAGAGTCCAAAGGGAAGGCATGTGAAGCGCCAGGTGTCGCCTTTCCAGAGGAAGCGTAATAAGCACCTTGACGTCTCGGCCACTGGGACTGTCAAGTATGCGTCCTTTAGATCTAATTTCGCCATCCAGTCGTCGCGAAGGAGTAACTCTCGCAGGAGGTTGATGCCCTCCATCTTGAAATGGCGGTAGCGCACCAAGGAAGGTGTTGAGGGGACGGAGATTGATAACTGGGCGCATCTGCCCGCCCTTTTCCTGCAGGAAGATGTTGCTGAATACCCTTGCAGGGGACGTGGGGGCTAGTTCTAACGCCCCTTTTGTTTGAAGGGCCGACAATTCCACGTCTATCAAGACGCGGTCGTTCACGGAGAGTGAAATAGGGCGAGGAGGAGGAATGTGACACGGAGTGTTAACCAATTCGATGTGGACCCCCTGAACGGTGGTCAGAACCCAAACATCTGAGGTGATGGCTGATCAAGTGTGGCCCCTACACAAACATTGGGGAAAAAAACATGAGGTAGATGTAAGCTTACAGTAAGGGCATCTGGAACCAGAGTTCCCTCTGAAGCCTCTGGATCACCATGGCCTTCCACGTGAAGGCAAGGTGTAGGAGCCTCGTCCCCATCCACGGGAGTGGTAGTTGGAACCTGACAGGCGACCTCTGAATCTGCCTGCCCTGGTAGAGACCCGCCCTTGAAATACCCTCTTCATAGAGGATTGGGCCTTGTCTAGGGCTGTAAAAGCTCTCACAAAGTGCCCCAGGTCCTTTATAAAGAAGTCCCCAAATAACAGGCTCTGGGTATCCATCATTTGCGTTTTGGAGGCAGAGGGACTTAAGTGCCTGGATTTGGCGGTAGCCTTTTTAGGTCTGAGCCAGGTCGCGTTATGCGCCTTGGTGTGGCCGAACTTTCTGCTGCCAGTGTAAGGCCTGGGAGAGAGCAGAAGACATAGAGCCCATAGCAGCCATTATGGCATCAGTGACTGAACGCTGTAGCGACATAGGGTTCACTGCAGATGAAAGGAAATTAGAGCTGGAAGAGGGGTTACCCAAACCCTGGGGTATTTCCATCTCCCAGGGGAAAGGGGGCAGACAGGCACTTTAGGTTTGGGCATTAGTAATGCTGTGAGATTCCCCAACAAAAATACAAGGTTTACTGAACAAATAGACTAAACAAAATAAAAACAGTACAGGCTATTAGGAGTTAATCACCCCAGAGTAGATATTCACCAGAGAGGGTAGAGATAGGGGAGCTCACCAGGTCCCAGACCGGCAGACAGGAAGAGACACGAGGTAGAGCACAGAGCCAGAAGGACAGGGTGTCAGAAAATGGCCGCCACCAGTCTTGCGAGATTCGCAGCAAAAAATCCAGTGAATGCGTCCAATTCACGAACCAAACGTTCGGTAAAAAGGGGACATATTCGTGAGAACAAACGAACGAATGGTAAGAATATAAGAAACTGATGAACGAAGAACCTTTCGTGTAAAATAGTCAAACACGGCAAACAGACGAATGATGCTATATGCCGGTAAAACTAACGAACAGCATGGATTTGTGATGAATTAAGCCGAACAGGCTTGGTTCACACACGAAATCAGCCGAACAGAGGTGTTGAAACAGGCGCAAAAGGGCGCCAAACAGTCAGAAGGGGGAGAGAGCCCTCGGCTTAAAGGTAACAAACATAGGCATAATATAAGCCAACAATATAAGTAAGAAAACTGTTTTGACTATAAGAAAAATAAAGCAATACTTATTTTAATAACAATAATTTTGAGAACAATAGTAATAATAAATAACTAATAATAAATCAATCAAATATAGGTAAGAGAAAATGTGTCATGTACTTATCTTTGGGTGTAGCAGCAAAGAAAGAGAAAATATGTGGAGAGGTGCTGACTATTATACTGGGACTTGGTATGGGAGTGGCTTATCACTGTGGTTACCACTTTTTCTTACTGTTTGTATTATTTGCTGCTATTGGTGGACAGTAAAGAAAGGGTTAAGCAATATGAGCCTCCGTGTCTTGACATAAAATTAGCTGAACCAACTTTTAGTCTTTGGAGAGCTCACTGCTGACGCTACAAACCCAAGTCAATGCAGAATCTTTAAAGGCTTTTAAAATTTTTATCTATTAGATAATTGGGTCATTTCCAACATGGAGTGCGTCTTTTCAAATTCAAACACCGTGACCACTACAGTATGCTAATTTCTTAACACTGACCCGTCAAGTACACAAACGTATTCTTAGCCTCCCATACTTCTCCAGAATTTCACATAGGTGCACTGTTTTGTTACGTTATTGGGAAAGCTCATTATTGTGAAAGCTCTGAGATTAATGTGCAGCTTGTAATATAATTTTTAAATATATTAAACTCTGCAGTGCACGGTTTATGTAAATGCATTGTTTTGTGTTAAAATTCATATTGCATGGCTTCTGAACATAGCTGGTATTCTGTTTATTAATGTGTGTTACATCATGGGAACAAGTTGAACAACATGCACAGACTTATTGAAAATGTGGATGCTACCAGCAAGTAGAGGGGAGGAAAAAGTTGAGATGGGGTGGGGGAAGTAGCAGAATAAACTTGATTTTAAGAATAATATGCATATAAAGTTTTTAGCATTTTTCAATTTTATTTTTTTTATTTTTTAGCAAACGAAGACACCATCTTGAAATAAATATTCAATCAAAATCCATCTCTTGCTTTTCAAGAACATAAAAATGTTCAGTGGCTGGCAAATGTACATTGTATGTTGAAGACATAAAATATAAAAATTAAAATGTAATTGCTTTTTGTGTTATTTATGCTATCCTGAATGTTTACCCTCCTACCATGAAGTAATAAGGCAGTTCAGATAATTAAGGATATTCAAAGAGTCAAGGTAAGAACCATTATGGAAGTATGTGGCTCTTGTGGTAAATGTTAAAGGAACACTCCCAGAACCAGAAGCATCTACATACAGGAGAATCCGGTCTGCTCTGCTGAACGAAGCAGGACTTCTCCCCTACTGAGTGGAGTCATGGTTGGGCAAGGCTTAACTCAATGAAGGCATATTTATAAATGATCTTGAACTATGCATTGAAAACCATGTTTCAGTGGTTGTAGATGACACAAAACTCCTATAAAGTAATAAAATGTGAGCAGGCTATTTCTTTGCTGCAGAGGGATTTAGATAGATTAGGGGCCTGGGCACTAAAATGGCAGATGAAATTTAATGTAGAGAAATGCAAAGTTATGCACTTTGAGATAAAGAATTTACACACTAAATGGTAGTGAATTAGACATAAGCACACGAGAAGGACTTGGAAATTGTTATAGACAACAAATTCAATCGGCAGTTGCTAAGGCCAGTAAGGTTTAGTCATGTATAAATAGGGGCATAATTTCTCAGGATGAAAATATAATTTTGCCTATTTATAAATAGCTGGTAGGACCACACCTTGAATATGCTGAGCAATATTGGGCACCCGTTCTAAAGAAGGATATTATGGCACTAGAAAAAGTGCAGAGATGGGCTACAAAATTGGTAAAAGGGGGGCGGAGCCTGACAGCTGAACAGAGCAGTCGCACTTCAGACTCCAGGCCAAACCGCTCCAAATCAGTTAAAAATACTGCAATTATCTGCACAGTGTCAGTTCTCCAGCCCCAACGAAAGGGGTATACCATAGAGAAGAAACCAAATCGATACCCTGAACAAAACTGGCGACCGCAACCAGGGAATAGACCTGAGCCCTACTTGCAGCCTATTCAGGAGGCACGGGGGAGACGGCCGATCCCCCAGCCGACTGAAGCCCACTTTGCTGGAGGTCTCCGCGGAAACACAATCTCTTCCCCCTCCCCCCACTCCTGGGGGTTATCCTGGCAACCAAAGCATGTAGCCCAAGATGGAGATACCAACCTAGGTTTACCAACACCGCAGGGATGTCGACACCCAACATGGCGGAAGCCATGCGGGCCCCATCACCTGAGCCCTGCCTGCTCCCTCTGTTGGAAAGGTTAGACCGACTATTTGCTGACTTCTGGGCCAAGATAATCAGCCGCGGGGGCACCCCGGGAGAAGTCCCATCAGCCCCAAGGGAACTCCACACAGAAGCCCGCAGCGCCGATACGGACCCCGAGCGGGACCTGTGCAGCGGGAAGCCTGACGCAAGATCCGGCAATCCTACACTTGACCACGGGTGAGTCGCCTAAACACTCAACAGGGACTCATCCAGGGGCTACCCCCGCACCACTCCTCCCTCATGCATACAGTCCCATCTGTGAGACGACACCATGCTGGAGGGCCCCGCACTCTCAGACAAGACATACTTCAGAACAGCTCCCCTACAACCCCACGGTATCACAAGGGACTTCCCAATACTCACTGCTCAAATGCACCAGGAGAACCAGTGACGGAAAAGGGCCGGTTCAATGCCCGAAGATCAGGGACACTCGCTCCCTGTACAACTCCTAATGGCAACTCCAGCACCATCAAGACACCAAGGGGAGCAGGGGCGACCCATCAAACAGGCTCACATACCAATGTGGATCCATGCCTCTGAGTTAACGGAATGCCACTAACCGGCATCGGCTAAGCACCCCCAGGCGGACACTCTAACCCTAGGCTCACTCAAGCTATTTATTGGGACTGATATGGTGCACCATCCTCGGCAACAGCACAACCCATGGTACACATTAAGCTCTAACACTCAAGTGCCCGCAAGATGCAATTTATTTCTACTTTAATAAGCCTGTGTAAATTTTTCTGTTGTGGGTCTTCACCAGTCTTGCACTACCCACACTCATTGAGCACCTGTCATTAGGTATCTCCTCACTTGAATAGGCATTACTAGATGCTCACGGTCTGACACATTAGCGGTTACACATACACATACTTGCAACCTACAAGTCTAGACTCCAGCTATAACGCCCTTACACTAATCTGGTATCAGCAACCAGTGCCTGCTCCTCAAACTTTAGTCTGATGATTCCACACTAGCACTGTGTTGCTCCAACTTGTATAATTAATATAAAAATGTGCAGAATAAGCTCTACTGTTAAGTGCTCGATGTGATTACATTTGTCTATGTTGCTTACCAGTGTGAAATGCCAATCATCCAAGCACAACCAAAATAAAGAATTTAAAAACAAAATTGGTAAAAGGAATGTCATTTAGTTAGGAAGAAAGGTTAAAAAATTTAAATCTCTTTAGCTTGGAAAACTGTGCCTCAGAGTGGATATGATCACATTATACAAATATATTCAGGGCCAGTAAAAACCATTATCTAGAAACAGGGTTACATATAGGACACAAGGTCAAGCATTTAGGCTGGAAGAAAGGAGTCAAAGGCAAAGAAAAAAACTGTTGTTTTTTTTTTTACAGTAAGCATAATAAGGATGTGGAATTCTTTGCCTGAAGAGTTGGTTTTTTTTTCTTACCATTAAGGGCTTTTTTTACATTTCTGCTGTTTGTATGTAGCTGTAATTTTCCTCTTACTCATTTACTGTACCCACACATTATATACTGTTCTGTTCTACATTAAATGGCCTTTCCTAAAGATACCATTATTTTCATCATATAATTTACTATAAAAATATTTATAAAATATGATGAAAAAAAACACTTTTTTGAACTTTGATGCCCAAAATCTGTTGCTCATTTACAACCTCCTAAAAACACCTGTGCTAAATATTTTCTACATTTTGTTCTGAGTTTAGTAATGTTTTTTTTTTTTTTTTCCAAAATTAACGCAGGTTACATTGTAACACTGATATGTCAGGAATCCCTGAATAACCCTTCACATGTATATATTTTTTAAAAGAAGACAACCGAAGGTATTAAACTTGGGGTATTTTGACTCTTTTCATGCAACCATTTTACCACCAATCTATGCCAAATTTAAAAATAAATTATTGATTTCTTTTGACACACAGCAATTTAAGAATACAAAATATCCAAATATCCAATGCTAGCACTCCTGTTGTAAAGAATTTAAAGCCCGCTGCTTGTCAGCAAAATTATAATAGTCTTATTTAAAGATAGCACTCCAAGGATTTTGTAAAATATTGGGAAAAAAAAAAACATCGCTTTTATTCAGCAAGTGCCAAAGTGGATCAATGTTTCAGTTCTGTGTCAGGATAAAGGTGCAATACAATAACCAGTGTTTAAATGACAAACCATTCTTATTATTACATTGTATACAGGTATCACTTACCCTTTGCCCCAAGTGCTTGTCCAAGCTGATTGCACAACTCGCGTGTGAATTTGACCCGGTATTAGACTATTCAGCAGCTGTAAGGTATGCTGCTGTGACCTGTGTGCATTCCAGGGGTGGCTGTGGAGATCAGCTGGAACGCAAGAGGGTGTTAGGAATGTTTGAGAGGGTTGTCCTTGGACGAACGGAAGATATGCTGTGTGCTATAAATAGACCTGTATCCACCTGGATGGGGGAATAATCCTGTACAAACAAGGGGCATAGTGTAATTATGTCCTATTTTTTATATTTATATTGATGTAAACCTAATGAGGCTTGATGTGGTGTAACTATGGTTTGCATATGAAATATGCATAATTCTTATGTGTAACCACAGAACTAAATATCTATATACTATGAGTTCGTTCTAGCCCAAGGTTGCTAATATTGATGTGGCCCATTGACTACCAGGACTCTGGATATAAACAGAATACCAAATACAAATTAATTGATAAATGTTGTACAAGTTAGTTTGGTAGCTGATATGCCCAATATACACTGCTAAAAAAAATAAAGGGAACACTTAAACAGCACAATGTAACTCCAAGTCAATCACACTTCTGTGAAATCAAACTGTCCACTTAGGAAGCAACACTGAGTGACAATCAATTTCACTTACTGTTGTGCAAATGGGATAGACAACAGGTGGAAATTATAGGCAATTAGCAAGACACCCCAATAAAGGAGTGGTTCTGCAGGTGGTGACCATGGCTGATGTTTTGGTCACTTTTGAATGCTGGCGGTGCTTTCACTCTAGTGGTAGCATGAAACGGAGTCTACAACCCACACAAGTGGCTCAGGTAGAGCTGCTCATCCAGGATGGCACATCAATGCGAGCTGTGGTAAGAAGGTTTGCTGTGTCTGTCAGCGTAGTGTCCAGAGCATGGAGGCGCTACCAGGAGACAGGCCAGTACATCAGGAGACGTGGAGGAGGCTGTAGGAGGGCAACAACCCAGCAGCAGGAACGCTACCTCCGCTTTTGTGCAAGGAGGAACAGGAGGAGCACTGCCAGAGCCCTGCAAAATGACCTCCAGCAGGCCACAAATGTGCATGTGTCTGCTCAAACGGTCAGAAACAGACTCCATGAGGGTGATATGAGGGCCCAACGTCCACAGGTGGGGGTTGTGCTTACAGCCCAACACCATGCAGGACGTTTGGCATTTGCCAGAGAACACCATGATTGGTAAATTCGCCACTTGCTCCCTGTGCTCGTCACAGATGAAAGCAGGTTCACACTGAGCACGTTACAGACGTGACAGAGTCTGGAGATGCCGTGGAGAACGTTCTGCTGCCCGCAACATCCTCCAGCATGACCGGTTTGGCAGTGGGTCAGTAATGGTGTGGGGTGGCATTTCTTTGGGGGCCGCACAGCCCTCCATGTGCTCGCCAGAGGTAGCCTGACTGCCATTAGGTACCGAGATGAGATCCTCAGACCCCTTGTACGACCATATGCTGGCGCGGTTGGCCCTGGGTTCCTCCTAATGCAAGACCTCATGTGGCTGGAGTGTGTCAGCAGTTCCTGCAAGACGAAGGCATTGATGCTATGGACTGGACCGCCCGTTCCCAAGATCCTGAATCCAATTGAGCACATCTGGGACATCATGTCTCGCTCCATCCACCGTCACGTTGCACCACAGACTGTCCAGGAGTTGGCAGATGTTGTAGTCCAGGTCTGGGAGGAGATCCCTTTAGACGACCATCCGCCACCTCATCAGGAGCATGCACATGCGTTGTAGGGAGGTCACACAGGCACGTGGAGGCCACACACACTACTGAGTCTCATTTTGACTTGTTTTAAGGACATTACATCAAAGTTGGATCACTTTAATTTTGAATGTGACTCCAAATTCAGACCTCCATGGGTTGAAAAATTTGATTTCCATTTTAAAATTTTTGTGATTTTGTTGTCAGCACATTTATCTATGTAAAGAACAAGGTATTTCAGAAGAATATTTAATTCATTCAGATCTTGGATGTGTTATTTTTGTGTTCCCTTTATTTTTTTTTGAGCAGTGTTTAATGTAAGACAATTAGATGCTTATAGTCCTATGGTTAAAGAAGCTATACATATACAGGAAAAAGCAATGTAGGACATTAATTTCATATGGATAATAGATACGATTTAAAGAATGCTTAGATATATACTTTTTAAAGAAACATAAACAAATAAGGGCAGTTTGTAACCGGTAAAACCTATATATTAAATATATATAGGTTTGTGATCTGCTGCAAGGAATATAAAGTTAATTCCTGCTTTCATTGATCCAGATCATAGAAAAATACCAAGTGAATATTTCTCATTAATTCCCTTGGGATGTACTGTACTCAAAGTTCTTATCCAGAACAGTTCTCTTTGTGACAAAAGTTTCTTGCGATCCCTGCCTCTTGCCGACTGGGGGATATGATCAATTGCCAAGAATTTCATGGAGGGAAGTTGATGATTATATTCCAGAAAATGTTTGGCCATGGGTAGTTTTGAGCCCTTGTCTCTATATGCTATTCATATGCTGGAAGGATGGTTAAGTAATTTAAAAATACATGTACTGAGAACTTTATGGGTTACTGCCAAAGAACACCCCAATACGTGTTCAGCAACATCTCCTGAGTACAGTGATACCCCCTATGTATAGGCCAATGTAATTTACCCTCATCAAACCATATATTTTTGAAAAGTAGACACCCTAGGGTATTTCAAACGGTGGTATTTTAACACTTTCCATGCATTAATTCTACCTCCAGTCTTTGTCAAACTTTTGGGTAGTCTTTTTTTTTTTTTGTGTGTGTTATTTTTCTCTCACATTGTACTTGAGGCATGGATTCTCAGTTCCTGTTATGTGTTACTGACAAAGAACATCACAATATGTGTTCAGCAACATCTCTCGAGTACAACAGTGCCCCCAATGTACAGGTTTTGTGGGTTTTTGCAAACTTACAGGGGTCAAATGTAGGGCTTTTCCATGTTTGCACATTGAAATTGCCAGATTGGTTTGTTGGGCCTATGTTGCTTTGGGACCGTACAGCAGAACAGGAATGAAAATTAACCCCGTCATGGCATACCATTTGTAAACATAGACAACCCACGGTATTCAACATGGGGTATGTTCAGTCTTTTGTAGTAGTCACTTAGTCATAAATGGCGTTCATATTTGTTTTTTCCGTGTTTTTTGACACAAAAACTGCACTTTTACTGGAGATTTCATCGTTGGGATATTACTGTTTTAAACACTCATATTTGTGTTGAGCGAAGTCTCCCGAATATAACAATACCCCTCTTGTACAGGTTTTATGGTATTTTAAAAAGTTACAGAGTCACTATAGGGCTTGCCCAATTCAGTTTGCCAGATTGGTTTGCTGGGTCTGTGTTGCCTTTTGAGACCATATGGTATCCCAGAAATGTGAAATAACCCCATCATGGCACACCATTTTCAAATGTAGATAACCCAGGGTATTCCAAATGGGGTATTTCCAGTCTTTTGTAGTAGCCACTTAGCCACAAATGCTTGCCAAAGTTAGTGTTTTTATTTGTTTTTTATTAAAAAAAAATTCTGATTAATTTATCTATATATTTATTTATCTATGACGACCATTGGAACGCAATCATAGTATTTCAGCTCACCTCTGAACCGGCAGTTTTCTACATACCGGATCAAATTTACCCACGATTTTCTCGCACCAGCTGCTATCAGACTATGGGGTAATTGTGAGTACAGCCTGTATACATTATTTTAATTATGTTAATATGTCTGTATGTTATTTTTTTTTTTTTTTTTTTAATTCTTTATTTTTGAAGTGCAGATAAATACACATCCTCTCGCCAAGCCCCAACAGCTTGAGACCAGGAGAGCAATTTACACAATTTATAAGCATTAAGGCGT